TTGGCTATCCTGATATATCTTAGCTAATAAGTCATCTAGGGTTACTAGATCGTATTAAGATCATCATAACCATGGCCGGTCCCCATAGCGTCTGACATTTTCCATTCACACAAAAATGCCATTCTCGTTACAATACGGACACACTTTCTGCAGTAACATTAAAATTGTCATGCCGATAAACTGAACAAAAAAAAAAGTGTGGGAAGAAAATGAAAAAGTAAGGTGGAGTAAGGTGGAGTAAGGTGAGGAAAGCGGATCGCTGATTGGCTACAGCTTGGAGTAAGGTGGAGTAAGGTGAGGAAAGCGGATCGCTGATTGGCTACAGCTTGGAGTAAGGTGGAGTAAGGTGGAGTAAGGTGAGGCAAGTGGATCGCTGATTGGCTGCAGCTTGGAGTAAGGTGGAGTAAGGTGGAGTAAGGTGAGGAAAGCGGATCACTGATTGGTGCAGCTTGGAGTAAGGTGGAGTAAGGTGAGGAAAGCGGATCGCTGATTGGCTACAGCTTGGAGTAAGGTGGAGTAAGGTTGGTGCACCTGCTGTGTCATTTTGGACCAAACTACAGACCATCATCTCTGGCTTCCTCTCTCACCGCATGTTTCCTCGCATTGCCCTCTCTCGCCAGCTACTACCAAGAGACCAAGGGGGTCTACAGTTCCTTGATCCACGCACACAACAACACGCTCTTCAATTACACTGGATTCAGCCACTGATCAATTACCCAAACGGTGCTGCATCGTGTTCCCTGGTGGTCCCCTACATTGCTCACCATCTGCTGAGCATTGGATCAGAACTACCCGACCACCGTTTGCTGCTCGCATTCCCGGAAACACGCCCTCGTTCCCTACAACAACAACCTTCAGCAATCGCATCACTTATTCTTGCTTCAATCGATCGAATCCAACTAGCACCATCATCCATTTATATCCCACCAGCGCTTGTACTCTGTTTGCCTAGTCGCGCAATATGGGACCCCGGTGACAATGCCGAAGTCAAAGACCTGCTCCGTTCGCCAAGCCTCAAGAAACTGAAGGTATCGGATCTGTACGTCTTTGATGCTACTCCTAGTTTATTACGACGACGTCTGCCACATGACGGCCCCATTCGCCACCCACGTGTCACTCGCCGGTTTTTCGAGGCCATGCAGCATGGCCGCATCATACTGAAATACTTCTTCAGTCGCCTTTGCCTACCTGCATCCCACCCGTTGGCCCAACATAACGGACAGCTCGGCACCACCACGGATGGTGACGTGATGCGTCCCCTTTTCACAGATCATCTCACGGATCAAGGACTCACCACCCGTAGTTTTCGTCGTCTTTGTTTGAACAATACTTGTGCAACACCACACCACCCGACACTCAATGCTAGTCGTTGGCGTCAATTTTGGCATAGTACGATGCACCATTCAGCCTGCAATGTCTGGTATCGCGCACTTCACAACACGCTTCCCACTGCCAGCCGTCTCCACAGTATTGTACCAGACTTCATGCCAAGCCCGCAATGCCAATTATGTTTAGGTTTCGTTGATACAACTCGTCATTTTCTCGTTGATTGCCCACTTCGGTGGGCCGTATGGAAGGAAGTCTGGGGCTTGGTTTTTTATGCTGAGCCTGATCCCACTCTCCTCCTCAACTTCATCATCAACCTGGACTGGCCCGTTGCCCCTGCGTCCACCACACAACTACGGACCATGGTCGTCCAATCCGTCCTTTTGGCATACTGGCGTGTCTACTGGAGCTGGATCTTCGACCGCGTCCCTTATACTCACTCAACTGTGGTCTCACTGGCACTGAGGCTGCTTGCCCAGCTTCGCCACCCCAAGATCACTGCCATAGACTAATAAGTCCATTGTCACCCCTCTCCGCCCTCTTTTATTATTTTGTATATTCCTCTTTTTCTCTTATCTCCAACACACCTCTGCTTTGTACGTGTGACTTGGATTAATAAATTTTGGCCTACCGGCTCATACAAAAAAAAAAAAAAAAAAAGGTGGAGTAAGGTGGAGTAAGGTGAGGAAAGCGGATCGCTGATTGGCTACAGCTTGGAGTAAGGTGGAGTAAGGTGGAGTTAGGTGGAGTAAGGTGGAGTAAGGTGGAGTAAGGTGAGGAAAGCGGATCGCTGATTGGCTGCAGCTTGGAGTAAGGTGGAGTAAGGTGAGGAAAGCGGATCGCTGATTGGCTACAGCTTGGAGTAAGGTGGAGTAAGGTGGAGTAAGGTGGAGTAAGGTGAGGAAAGCGGATCGCTGATTGGCTACAGCTTGGAGTAAGGTGGAGTAAGGTGGAGTAAGGTGAGGAAAGCGGATCGCTGATTGGCTGCAGCTTGGAGTAAGGTGGAGTAAGGTGGAGTAAGGTGAGGAAAGCGGATCGCTGATTGGCTACAGCTTGGAGTAAGGTGGAGTAAGGTGGAGTTAGGTGGAGTAAGGTGGAGTAAGGTGGAGTAAGGTGGGGAGCAAGATCTTTTTTTTTTACACTTCTGTTTTGTCAAAGCTTCATAACCTTTCTTTGTTGAGACATTTACTAAAACATTTAGCAGAATGAGAAACAAATCCTTTGAAATCGCTTAAATAAAGACTATCAATGCCTCGCTGATTCTGGTCATCAAGGATTCTTTTTCCAGAAACTTATTTCTCTTAACTTTACTCTTGACAACAGACCAGAACTGCTCAATTGGATTCAGCTCAGGAGAATACGGAGGAAGATATACATAACGGTATCCTCGGGAGTGAATATACTTTCCAATGTCGGTTGAACTATGAATAGGAGCATTATCCATGACAAGATAATGTCCCTTCATTTCGGGATACTTGTCCATTTCATCAAGAGTTGCCTTTAAAAAGCTCAGATAATGCCCTGTCACTGTTCCTATACTATAACCGTTAGTTTCATGACCAAGCTTTCTCTTTTTGATACGCTTTGGAACTCTCAAGCTAACATTAATTAAGCCGGTGGCAGGTATTGCCCCCAAAATCGATGTTGAATTCGCTTTAGTCGTAGGCACTGTAACTATTGCAGGGGTTCCCTTCCTTGACCAAGCCATACCTCGTTTCAAATTGATATGAAAGGCTGATTCATCAAGAAAGACACAGTTTGTTGTAAAGTCCAAGTCAGTTTGCTGCCACTTTTGGACCCAATCGTACCTCTACTGAATCTTTTCCTCGCTGTTTCTTTCCACAGGCTGGAATTGTGCCTGTTTAATGGATAAATTACACTGAGTTGTCATGAAGTTATAAACAGTACTACGTGAAACGGTGAGATCTGCAAAGTTCTGTAGTAAATGTCCCATTACTTCAGTTAAGACGGCAGAAGGATTCTCATCGATATAGTTTAAAAGACATTGCTCATGCTCCTCGCCAAGAATACGATGCCGACCTGTTTTTTTCTTCTTCTCAAAAAAGCTTTCAGGGTCTTCGTAATAATGTTTGACCCATCTTTGGGCTGTACGAACATGAATACCTAATTGTCTCGCAGCAGCAGAAGCACTCAAGCTTTTACTGAAAAATAGATGAAAAAATCTAGTTTTCTCCTCATCAGAATAAAATGTATAGCGCCGCTTACTGCATAATTCCATATCAACATCTTCACTATTCCTTTCAACTGCAGTTGGATGCATTGCAGGATTAGGTCTTTCTGGAGGTTTATTCTTAAGGAATTGTGTTCGAGAACTAAGCGTCTCGATAGCGAACAACTCCTCGTCAACAACAAGATCCATGGGCTCAACTCCATGCTCATCAACAACATGCCCTTGCCCATCTTCGTAAAAAAATTGTATACTCATTTCGAAATGTCTGTAAAATAAATTGTAAAAGAAAAAAAGAGAACGATAAGAGGGATGGAGGTGTCACTCAATTTATACCCAAATAACAGCTAAGAAATTTTATTGGGTAATTACTAAGCGACAAGTAAAAATAAACGACCTTCGTCACGACTTCATTGCTGGATCAAGCGACTTCATTGTTGCACACGAAGATTTTTTGCACGACGTCAAACTCAAAATCAGCGACATTACTTTTTGAAATGACTGTATTTCCAATGAAAAGTGTAAAGATGTGTTACATATCTCGGTTAAAGGGCATTAGTGTTGTGGATTAGTAGGAGTGGATATATAGACAAGCCGTCAATGTTACACACACATACACTTTACGTGAAGAATTATACACAAGCCGATTGAGGCTTCTTTTATGCATACTACTGAATGCTTGTATGTCCTTGGATACACAGCGTATAGAGCAGTATCTCTAGCCGGGGCTTGTCACCATGGCTGCTATATCAACGGCAGCTTCTGGGATCATAGAGACAGCAAGCTTGGGGGCAACCAAGGTAGTTTATTTCTCCGAAATAGGCTTGGTCTATTACCCTTCTTTAATACCCTTTTTTCCCTTCTGCCTGGCAAAAAAAGACACTCCTTATTTACTCAACACACACAAAACAGAAAAAAAACCTCTTTTTTTTCTTGTGTTTTTTATTTGGACGCATTTCTGTCGCTACTGGTATGGTACTTGATGTTTATACATGGAGGGCATGGACACAAAGGAACGACCCACGATGGTCTTTCCTTTCATCAATGCGTCATCTTGCAAGAAAAAATAATAATTGGGGGTGCGTGTGGGGTGGGGGTGGGGTGGGGTGGAGAAGAGTTGGAACCAACCTTTCTGTTTCCGTGGGGTGATATGGAAAGAAAAAAGATATGGATAGAAATCTCGCTCATTGGGCAATGACAACTGAATTGACACATTGATACTCTCTCTCTCTCTCTCTCTCTTTTTTATGCACTTTTTTGTAATCTCGGGTTTCTAGTGGTTTTTTTTTTGCGCCAACTCGAAACAACTTTTTCGAAACCAACACAACACGTTTTTTTTTGTGTGATATTTTTTTTATTACGCTAACTCATTCGCGGCCACAAACTTTTTTTTTTCGCTCTTCTTTTTTCTCTCTCTCTCTCTCTCCACTCAACTCGCTTTTGCACTCAAACGAGACACATTAATTAACTCAACCACGACACAAAGATGATGCTTTATAAATTAGTCGTACTTGGAGATGGTGGTGGTAAGTTACATACAACCCGTGGGCTTTTTTTTATTCGAAAAAAATCTTAACGTTTTTTTTTTATAAATAGTTGGTAAAGTAAGTATATAGTTATTTCACAAGCGATTACGACGAGCGATACGGGCCCGGTGAACTAGATTTGACGATACCGGCTGCATAACTAACTTTTTTTTCTTGCTAAATTTGCAAATGATAGACTGCTTTAACCATCCAGGTAAGGCAAACAAAAAAAGAAGATAGAAAGTACAGCCAAGTGTTATATGACAACTAATGACAAGTATCAATCTGCTTACCATAATGATATCTAGCTCTGTCTCAATCATTTTGTCGGTAAGTCTTTCTGGAAAGGATAATAAGAAAAAAAGTCTATTCGTATATGCTCACCCATCGCTATGTTCCATTTCATGTAGAGGTGAGTTTCGAGAAAAGAAAGAACGGGAAACAAGTGCATATATACAACAAATAATGCAGTAGAGCTCAACAGGGATGAAACACATAAATTAGACTTACGACCCGACGATTGAAGATTCATACCGCAAGCAAGTCGTGATTGATGACCAGCCGTGCATTTTGGAAGTCCTGGATACCGCTGGTCAGGAAGAATACACTGCCTTACGAGATCAATGGATCAGGTATGGGAGTGGGGGTTGGATAAAGAATAAAGGGGAAGGGTGGTGCCTTAAGGGAGATATAGAGAGTGTGTGTCTATCTATCTAACTATCTAACAACGCCTTTTGTAATAGAGACGGTGAGGGATTCTTGCTTGTATACTCGATCACGGCACGCTCTACATTCGAACGCATCGAACGTTTCCGCGAGCAGATTTTTCGAGTGAAAGACGTGGACAATGTGCCACTCATGTTGGTTGGCAACAAATGCGACCGAGTGACAGAACGCGAAGTGACCCGTGAAGAGGGCATGATGATGGCACGACGATTGGCTTGTGATTTCATCGAGACCTCAGCAAAAACATGTGTCAACGTCGAGCGTTCCTTCTACCAGGTTGTGAAGATCATCCGAGCACAACGTGAAGGATTACGTACGGGTCCCAAGGGCAAGAGCAAGAAGGAAAAGAAGAACAAGTGCTCGATATTGTAAAAGAAAAAAGAACAGGAACCATGTTACCGGAAAGATCTTTCCAGAGATGTGCCCACACACATACACACACACACACACAACAACGACGATCTAAACTCACGCAAACACTCGCATATCACAATCACAACTTCGACATTGACATTCAAACATTTACACTTTTTACCTTCCAGCAGAAATGTTCTTTAATTGGGATACCCTGTCTCTCTCTCTCGCTCTTTCTTTCTTTCCACCTTACCACGATTCTTCTATCTATTCCACTTTTCTTTTCTTTTTCATATTCTCGAACTTATTCTTTGTGTTTGAATCAAAGCACATTTTTGTTCCAAATCCAACCTTTCTTTTTCTCTTTCCTGTCGAGTAGCACTCTCTTTCCCCTTCTCGTTTCTTCTCCCTTTTCTCTCTATCTCCCTCCCCCTTCCACACACTCACACACACAGTCCCCTCGGTAAACTCCCTTTCTATCTTTCTGTTTCTGCCTAAATAGTACATTATTCACACTCACTCAAAGTCCATGCTAATGATCTTTTTCCCTTTTGTAACGGCGTTTATAATAACAATAATGCTTATTTCACGAAACAACAACACACTTTTGGCTCTCTGCGTTTCTAAACCCTCTTTGCTAGTCACCGCATATCCATCGTATATCACAAAATTCCCAAATTTATGATGCTATTATATACCCACGCGTACCATAATGCATGAGTTATCATACATCTCATGTTAAAACAATGAGCATACTATATAATGGGCTGAGTGAACTTCAAAGAGACCGATCCACACAGAGTACGTTGTAATCGATCAGGAGAGCATAGATAATGTGCTTACTGTTCGGTCCGCGACGTAAAGGAACTTTATGCTCTACTAATACCAATCGGTCTATTATACGTGCCGTCATCACCTTACAAGGGGGGGGGGCTATTGATAATTGAAGAAGGGGGTGTGTCGTAGGAGGGACCGATGGTCACTGATTAGATTTGGGAAGGGATGATTCTCTTTTGAAAAAGACAATAAATACTGTTGTTGTAGTTGATGATCCTTTTGTAGGGAGATGAAACACGATGGCAAGTTATAAAAAAAAACAGAAAAGAGCATGTAATACATAATGCGGTGTGTGGCATTTTACACCATCTTTATTATTGTATGTTCTGTCACATATCTCTGCACCCCCTTTCTCTCGATCATTTACCAAATGAGCCTATATTTCATTCATTCGGATTTACACTCTCCCTCGTTTCCTTTCCTTTCTTCTCTCTCTCGTTTCCTTATTTTTGACAACTCTCTTTTTTTTAATATCGTCAATAATACATAGACTATGGGTAAAGCACAGAGCAAGCTTACGACAGAACAACTCGTTGATTTACAGAAACATACTTATTGTAAGAAAGAATATCTTTCTCCTTGATCGAATCGGCTGGCTGTGAATTACTACATTTTGTGGTGGTTGTGGCGATAAATGCAACATGCTAACAATAATGCGTTCATGCAGTTGACAAGAAAGAACTCCAGCAATGGTATATTGTCGTCGTGCTTACATAGCAATAACAAATCGTGTTGTTCCTTGTGGATATTATGTATTTAATACTATCATCCAGGTACAAAGGCTTTCTCAAAGACTGTCCATCAGGCCAACTTGACAAGACCGAGTTCCAAAAGATCTACAAACAATTCTTCCCTTTTGGTGATCCCTCTGGCTTTGCCAATTATGTGTTTGACGTATTTGATGATAATAAGAACGGTGTCATTGATTTCAGAGAATTCATCTGCGCCTTGTCCGTTACGAGTCGTGGACGGATAGATGAGAAGCTCCTCTGTAAGTCCCTCTATTCACATTTTCCCCAATTATTTGTGGTTAGCGCGATTCATCCCAAATAAACAAACATTTTAAACAAAATGTATCCAGGGGCTTTTCAGGTATTTTATATAAAAATGATAGCAAAGAATGTCATTTAAATCAGAGTAAAGGTGTTAATAATTTTTTATCTGTCTTGCACCTAAAAAAACAACAACAGCTGTATGATATAGACAATGATGGACGTATAGCTCGTGACGAGATGCTTCGTATTGTGGAAGCCATTTACAAGATGGTTGGTAGCATGGTAAAATTGCCTGAGGACGAGGATACTCCCGAGAAACGAGTTCAAAAGATCTTTGACTTGATGGATTTGGCAAGTATTTTGGGCTCATTGTTCTTTTCTCCTCGAGAAACTGCATCCCCACATCCTACAGCTTATAAATATTGCACCAGACTAATATAACTCTTACATATTCAAATGTATATATAGGATAAAGATGGTGCTTTAACAATGGCAGAGTTCAAGGAAGGATCAAAGAAGGACCCTACAATTGTACAAGCCCTCAGTTTATATGATGGTCTTGTTTAATAATATTATAATCAGTCCCCTTTATAATACTTATATAATAAATGCTATATATACTATATATAAAGCTGTTGCTAATCACTCGATGATAAGAACGTGGCGGATCTACGTACATATCCAGCACGTCTGGTGGCAAAGGCTCCTGGGTCAATCTTGAGTATTGCATACGCGCCCCAATCCCAAAGATGTGTTATTGCCGATGCATTGGACATCTTTCCGCCAATAAGCATCTTCTGTTTTCCCTGCATGTTTCGAAACCTTCCGCACGATGAGATACCAAGTACGAAACATGTATTTTTATGTAGTAGACGGTGTAGATACTTTTAAAGCCGTCGATGCCGCCTATTGATCGCTATATTACCTACAAAAGTCGTTGTGTATATCATATGAGTAATAACCATTGTCATACATGGCACACCATCACCATCATCATACGCTACTTTTTTCTTTTTGTAGACTTCTAGCAGCAACAACACATCATCGAGCGGCGGAGCACCCATTTCCTTTACCTGGAAAATACTCAACGATCGGTACCAACAACACCATCTAGAGGGAGCTCTCAACCAAGGATCGTATCACTAGAGAAATTGTGTGACAGTGTTGTATATGATGAAACTACTTGCCCTGTCCCATCAAATATAAACGAACAAAGTGTTCGACATTCGTTTTGACAAGTTCTCCTGTGTGACAACACACTAAATTCTCCCCTCGAAAAAATACGCCTCGTCGTTACCTTTGCACCCAGCCAGCTAAAACAGTTAGAATAAGGTGTCGGAGTAGCTAATGTCTGCATAATTTTGGAATGAGATTTCTGAGCATGCGCAAAAGCTTTCGTCTTTGTGGTTTTGGAAGCTGCTTCCGTATCAGCAAAGCTCGATTCTCGCTTCTGCCATGCTTCTTTTTTTTTGTGAGATTCGTTGAAGAAAGTGTCGTTTGGAGGAGTCAGTCAGCTGTATATGATGAGCTAGGCGATCCATGCCGTGCGCGTACGATACTGTAAAGAAAGAGCGAGACCCATCGGCGTAGCATACCAGCTCGAGTACGTATTTTTTTCTGTTTTGTGTAACCAAAAAGCCCTATTTAGGCGCCTCATATAAAACAAGTCCCATTTAAGATAGCGCTTCACTGCCAGTATGGTACGCGGTGCCAGACCAGGATCTCTTCACCCAACCCACATAATCCACATGGCAAGGTAAATTCAATTCGTAACGCGGAATGCCAGTTACCCTCCCCCTCTTCATCGTCCCGCTTTTATTCTTTTAAAGCTTAATACCCGCTCTCAATCTATTTTCTTTTCTTAGAGGGCTCTAATGTATGGCAAGATCAACGTGCAAAGTCACGTTTTCTACAGTGTAAGTATTGTACTTTACGGACCTCTCTTTAAGAAACGTTGAATCTCTCTGTAGGGTGCAATCATTCTTAACTTTTTGTCTGGATGACGCTGTTTTTTGATATAGACTATGCTGCGACGGTACGGCTTTACAATGGTATAGCCCGTATTGGTGCTCCATTTGTGGTCAACGTCAACCGTGCGGTTGTTGACTGCTTTTGGATGAACCATGGAGGGAGACATTCCTACCGGCATCGCTGCAATGTGATTGTAGTGAGAAGTAGGAAGATCTCTGCTACGGGCTTCCTGGTAACAATATCTTAGCCCATAAAGAGGTCGCCCCAAACAATGTGCTTTAGGGAACCTTGAGAGAGACGGACCTGCCGGCATAAGACTAAGGCAGTCTTGGGTAGGAATGCTCTGCTATGGGCTAGGCGTGCATCATTATGGAACTTCGTTCGAAGCTGTCTTGATGCACGGCCGAAACCGACCGTCGCTAAACATGGCTGCTGGACACGCCTTCCTGTAAGTATAAATTATCTTCTTTTACCCAACGGATTTGTTATCTCACTTTCTACTCATCTTATAGAGTCCATCCTTCTTGTCTCGACCTCCAACTTAGGCTTCCCATCCTTCGACGTGTACCCTTCGACGTGTTTTGTCTTTTGTGGCAACGAGGGCTGCTGAAATAGTATCTTACTCTCAACCATGCACACTCACACACTCACACACTCACACACTCACACATAGGCCTTTTTGTTTGTTTTAACTATTTGGTGTTCGTCAAGGAAGCACACGCCGTCAACGTACTTGGTACGCCAGCCATGGCTATTCAAACGACTGTTCCTGAACAAGATGTTGCCGCATCGCCTTGCCGATATATATCTGATGTATGTACACTGCTGGATTGAATCTTGGGCTGCCATGCTGGCAAATACGGGCTAACCAAAGCCATATTAAGAAGGCACCAGCTTATACTAACCACACATCTATTCATCACTCTTCTTTTTGTAGAGACGACAGCCGCTTCCATTCCACACCATCAACTTATTTTTCTCTACTTTCCTCTCCTTCTCTTCATCCTTTCAATGTACTTTTATTTGTGTCTGTTTTTTCAATGTCATTTGCATATTCCTTGTATCGATCTTCACAATCTTTTCTTTGCACAATAGCATTTCCTCCGATAAATCATTGTTAAAGTTTATCTCCACGTTTTCGCATGGCTTCTTAGCCTATTATTTAGCAGCTTTCAAGATTTGGTTCGGTCAATCTTCTACTTTTAAAAAGCAATGGGTCTGTTCGAATTAAAAGACGATTCAGCGCCGCTCTTGTATTTATATCATAACAGCGAAAATATTGATTTCACCTGGATGTAATCCTATCATTGATTTGGATTTCAAAAGTTGCGGCTGAAAGAGAACATGTCCATAATAACTGCCCATAGAAAATACCAGCAGGGACACAAGATTTACGGCTTGCTTCCTTGCTATGTAATACGCACAGACGCAGTTAGCACCATATGCTGGCCATTAGCACGATTGGATTCACATAAAGACTTAGGGTCGTACTGATATACACAGGTCGATCACCGTCAAGGTCAACCTCGTTAGCGTTAACTCTCGACAGCATTAACAAGAAGCATCTTTTACACAAAATTATCCGAGATCTTCGCAATGGGTCAACCCTCAATAGTGTTGATCGCTTCAGATATATGCGCCCTATGGGTCAACATCAGCGAGGTTCACTGTAGCATCATGTAGTTACGCAACATAACTCACATAGACTGACTGGCATAGTAGTCATGTTGTACATAATGTGTTCGGCCATAACATACAAAATCTCCTTCGATTCTGTTGGTGAGAATGAATTCGTAACTATTGACTTGAGTGAAGCTTTCGCCAGATAGGGCACATTCACTTTACATATACAACCTTTTTTGATGATAATAACACTGTATGATGTTAATTGTGATTTGTAATATCATCAAGTATAATTATTATATGCATTAGAGCGTTCGAGTAGTGATAGTCCAACAAGACCACCCTCAGAACGACATACAATGCATCTTCCTATTGGTGGTCACTGGTGCTGTTCAATACACCGTTGCATTGTTTCTGCACTGACTTTTTAATCTAGAAGACATATGATCTATACAGTCACCGGATATATTTCATAGAACAATACAGTAGTACAATCTGGCTGTCTTTTGCGAGTTCGCTGTTAAAAGGCCGCATCCGCACTTTTGCGTAAGAGCATAGAACATCCGCATATCATTAACATGCATAGTGATATTTAGAGCCGCTTAATAGTGCCACTTTTATGACATCTTGCTCATAGTATGTACAAGTAGCGAGCATGTTAAATAGGTATACTTTTTCCATGAATCCCCAAGCAAGCTGCTGTCAAATCATATCTGTAAAGGAGGATTCCCTGAGCCATGTGAATGTGGTGTCAGGTATTTTCCCATCGTATTACCTGGCATATCCAACAAGTGAAGCTGTCAACTATGCAACGGATAAAACCGAATCTGCAAATTACAGTGATCAAGTCGCCGGTGCCCATTTGACAGATCACAAAAGTGCGACGCCTTTTTTTTCTCTAATCAATTTACACATGGTTACACAATGTGCCTTTTCTGTTTTAAGACATTTGGTAAACCGCCCTTTACTGCAACAACAAGACGCCCCCACATTCCCGGCTTCTCCCCTTAATCTCCCAAAACGTAATACCCATAATGGACGAGCTGGCATCACTGTCTCTCACCCATGTCCAATTCGATCCGCGCGACAAGATTGCCTACTGGCTTGCATATATTACCTTGTCACCACTCGCCATTCTCGTCTTTTATGCCTCAGTTATTGTCAGTCGTCGCGAAGTTGCAGGAATTCTCATGCTGGCTGGCCAATTATGTAATGAAGGCCTGAATGCTGTTCTCAAGGAATATCTGCAAATTGCTCGTCCACATGGTAAGAAAAGACTAGGTTAATTTTTTGATATTTATTTGAGTAGTCAATGACTAACATTTAACATTTTTATAACAACTATTGCTAGCCCACCTCGGCACCGGGTATGGTATGCCTTCAAGTCATGCCCAGTTTGTCTGGTATTTCGCCATTTACGGATCGCTGTATCTCTGGAAACACATACATGTCAACCACGTTGGTGAGAAATTATTGGTCTCTGCTGCCATGTGTATCCTGGCAATTGTTGTGTGCTATTCTCGGTAAGTGGCGTTTATCAATGTCGAGAAAGAGAGATTTTCATATGCGCCCCCGCGTATTAACTCGCAGATCTGCCCATATGTAGCATATATCTCGGTTACCATAGCTTACCTCAAGTGATGGCGGGTAGTTTTGCTGGATTGGCTTTTGGAGTAGTATGGTATGCCCTTACAGAACTTGGCCTCCGCAAATCAGGATGTATTCAGTGGGCACTGGACCAACCAGTAGCAAAGCGATTGTATCTACGAGATATGCGTGCTATTGACAATGTGGCAAGATGGGAATATCAACAGTGGGAGCAACAAGTAAGGCATCGTCAAGGATCTGAGAACAAGCAAGAATAGACATCCACATACACGAACACATTTGCATGTACATAATGATTATCGAAAGCACTAAATTAAAAACATTGTATTAAAGGTTTCAAATTCCTTTTTTGCTAGACTATTTTTCATTTTTTTATTTACTTTAAGAGTTGGCATCGTTTGAATATATATTTGCTGTGTCGATGTGTGAGTGTGAAAGTGTGGATGAGAGGGAGAAAGAGAGAGGCAGAGCAAATTGGCAGTTTTTTTTTCGGTGGGTCGATTGGTGCTTTGAAATTATACTAGCAGAAATTCAAGAAAGAGTGAGTCTTTCTTTGTGTGTTGTAGAAGATACGGATGTAGTGGTCAAAGTGTCAAATCGAGAGCGGAGCAAAAGGTTCGGGAGTTAGGCTAAATAGCAGTTCATCGTGGCAAGGTAACTTGTGAAGAGTCGAGGCCAAGGGCGTGTAAGAAGAGGTTGACGTTGGAAATTCGGTGTTGGGCCTGAGCGGCAGGGAATCGGTTGCTATGTGCAAGCACGATGTTTTCCATTACACGCTCTCTGTTAACAGTTGAGAGATAGTTATGAGTTAGTACACACTGCCATTGCCAAAACAAGATACGCTCATAAAGGTGACCCATGATGATACTTGCCTAACTTCTGTAACTAGGATATGCTGCTGCTCCATAGAAGCACCGACAGCCATGGCAGCAAGGAACTGCCACACATACATATCATCCACATTAAGAGAAAGCTGGATTGCGCTCATGTTTGGCTGGATGGGCACAAGGTAGTATAAGGAGGGGAATATGGATGCATAGTGGCCGTGCAAAAGTCCAAATAAAGCGTTGTATTCTTGTTGCCACTGTGCTAAGTCTTCGGGAGACGGTGCTACTGGACCGTGAAGTGCTTGACCGCCTTGCTTTAAAATTTCGGCACGTGATAAGAGCATCGTCAAGAAAGCAAGACCCGGCTAGACGTATACAATACATGTAAGAAAGGATGCCATCTTAGACCCACTTTATAAATACTATACCTTTGTACGGGCCACGGCCACAATATCATTCTTTTCAATAAATAATTTGATCAAACCGTTGATTACTTGCAAAGGCGCTTCCGAAATAAGACTCAAAAGCGGAGGTGCAGCCATGTTGATGAATAATTCGACATCTTCAAAGGTGACAAACTTTTGCTTCTTAGCCTCTTCAGCATTAGCAACCATGGAGCCGGGATAGATAACGTGCCGGCAGACAAAAAGTCGTGAAAAGTTTGCAATGATGACGGTCAACATGGTCAGATTTTGATCGCTGTTCAAGTGGCGTACAATACGAGGAATCAACTTTGCACCCTTGGCAACCGAGAGGATGGATACGATCAATGGCCTATTATGGTGCACATGCATATAATATCTTGAGCTCTCCAAAACAATTATAACCTCAAAAATGCTCGATTGAAGACCAATAGCTGGATAATTTCGCCACTTACGTTCCATCAGTTTGGTCCAACAGTCTGAGCGCGTCCCAAAGTTTCTGGCAGCGATCAGCATACTTGGCGTTCCTATACAAAGCATTATATGCTTAACAACAAGCGCATGCACACACAAAGACACATATACTAAATCATATTGATGTTTTTTTGACATACCATGCCTCAACTACGTCTTCATGCTCATCCTCATGACCTGGCTTTGGTTTTGGCGCACCTTGTCTGCGCATTTGCTCGAGCTCTAGCACAATCAAATATAAATTCTCCACGATCTTGAGGATTCTCCGTCTGTCGGTTTCAGTAGGCACGTTTGTTTTCGAGGTCTGTGAGCAGGTAGAAACATGAACCGTGTAAGTATCGCGTTTGGTATAATAAGCCTCTTTAGAGTTCATCTATCCTTTGCTCTCTTACCGTCTGTTTCTGATCTTGCTTTGATCCCTCGTGACTTGCCGATGAAGCATTGGGCTTTTTTTCAGAAACTTGCAAAACTTGTCTCGGATTGCGTACAGTCAAAGATGTGATTTTACCCAAAGCACCCTCAAGAGTTACTATATCGTGAAAAAAAGAAGCATACACAAATAAGCATGGGTAAATGCAGTAATTGTACTTGATATCCCTTTTTACCTTGAGTTTGTCTTGGATGTCTCTTTGCGTTATTCACAACACGCTGAAGCTGCTGGTGGAAACGCTGCATCCCATTTTCCTCTTTGCGCCCACGGTTGTTGCTACCCTTGGCTGCATTCTCAGCAGACGCCGACCAAACAGGCAATCCAGCGCGTTGACGAAGCGAGGAATACACCTGGTAGTAAAAGTCGTCCGAGTAAGGATCACTCGAAGCAAGCTGCGAGATCTGGATTCGATTAATAAAATCCTTATCATGCTGCGTCATGAGACCACTGTACTGCGACTTTAATACACACAATTCAAAGTTAGCAACTAAAACACTGGTTTATCCCGAAAAACGCCATTCTTTTCTTTATCAACATACCTTGCGCTGGTTAACACGCTGCTGCTGCTGATATTTAGCCTCACGATCTGCTGCTGCCATCTCTTGTTGGTGCTGCTGCTGCTGTTGTTGCTGCATAGCAAGCAGTTGCACAGGATCCTTGTTTCCAAAACCCATGGCACGCAATGCTTGTTCTTGATAAACCTGCTGCTGCAGCTGTTGGAAAGCCAGTTGGTTGCCGTGTTGGAGAGCGTCTCCCGAAGCAGAATGAGGATGAGGAGGAGCAGGAGGACCCATGGGTGCTCCAGCAAGCATGGCCGCTTCAATATCGGACAAGCTGACCATTTTTTTTCGAGGATCCATCTCGTCGTTGAGCATCTGCATTTGATCGTGTCTGAATCCGCCGCCAGCACCGCCACCACCACCCGGGGATCGTCGGTGCAATTCCGCCTCAATGTCTTCCAGCAATACCGGCTGTCCGCGTCCTTGTTGTTGTCCGATTGATGATGAAGGCGAAAGACCGGGTGGAGGAGGAGGAGCTGTTTGTTGAACCTTTTGTTGCCGCATAAATGGAGACAAAGAGCTCGAGCCACTACCAAACGAGCTAAAGCCCCGGTCTTTTATTTGTTCAAAGATCAAGGATCAGAGACCCAAAAAAGGTGCGTTAATTGTCAACTGTGTGGAAAAGGTCACCCTAGTCTTTTTCATAATCCTTTATCCAACGTCCTCTTACCTGAAGATGAAATGTTTCCACCAAATCCTCCCCAAATCGACTGGACACCTGTCACAGGAGATGACTACACACATATTGCGTTAAGTTTCAACCCATACATCAACCATAATTCTAAGATGTAAATACCTTGAATTGATTGCTACTCTGGTTACGAAAATCCTGACTCGCAGGGCGACTTCCAATGGTACCCGCACCACCACGGTCTGTGGCACCCCATGAGCTGCCTACACTGTGTCGGTTTTTTCCCGCTTGACCTTTTACCATCGAAATTAGCGATGCGACAAAAAACCAAAATGTGTGCCCATTGAAAGGAGAAGCTTTCCCCGCTTACCACGTTGTTGTTGTTGTTGTTGCTGGTCTTCGGCCGGGTGTCTCTTCACACCAAACGCCTCTTCTTCAGATATCACCGTGTTGAACTTTTCTGTATTCGCAAAAAAGTCATAGTCCTGACCTACACGTTGTATACCAAGTTTGCGCGAGTTTAGATTACGTAGAAATATGAAAGAGTTGTGCAAGGCAATGCGTTAGTTTTTTTTAGGGAAGAGAAGGGTTGGACGGGGGCAAGACGCGCTAAAAAATCAATTTACCAACAGAAGCTTCGCCAAAAGTTTCGTCATTAAAGTCGTCGCCTTCGTCGATTAACATGTCACCGAGGTTGTCGTCGACTTCACGGTCATCGTAGTCATTAATCCCGTCTTTCAATGCATCAAAGTTGTACACTTCTAGATCGTCACCGTGATCACGATTTTTACTGCGGTGGTTGTTTCCGGCGCCACCAGCTGACTCGTCTACGCTACTGCTAATATTGTCTTCTTTTGATTCCAGCTTCTGCAGCTCTCCCTCACTCAAAGGAGGCATGCCTGTATTGAAGCTGTAATTAACACAGAAAATTGTCAGGTATGAGATAACAAGCTTTTGTTTGATCAAATTTGCGTTAATTTTTATAGACGTGTACCCGAAAAACGAATCGCCCATCGTTACAAGCCAAAAATAAGAAAGGCAGACGGAAAGAGAGAAAAAAGGCTTCTGCTGATTTGGAATTGGTCCCCCACCGACCAACAACACACACACACACACACCGTCAGCGGAGTTGTGTGTGTGTGTGCAAGACGCGATGGTCCTCTTTCAATCTCTCTCTAACGGCATCCATCATAATAAGTAAAGTTGTTCCTCTGTGGACTCTCTAAGCGTAATATCAATTATGTTGCATTTTCACTTGTTTTGATCTTGATATGATAGACGATATTTGAGCTTGACTTACGGCAAATATGTCTGAATTCCGGATATTGCTCATAATATGACTTTCTTCTCTTCAATTGCGGTACATAGTGATCCAAGTTGAATTTTGATCAAACGCTAAGAGTACAACAACACGAATGGGTCGACGCTCATATTCCTTCATTATGCATTACCGCACAACAATTTCTGCTATTTCTCGACTGGCCCGCCGGTTTTGTAGTGAACAAAAACTCATTTACGATGCAAGAGCAAAATGCGAGACACAATAAGAAGTAATGAAAAGCATTAAACAACGATATGCGCCAGCATTAAAAATATCGATCGTTTGTAAAACAAGCGACGAGTCTGTTTCCTGAACAATAGAGAGTTGTTGATACTATTACAGTCATTGTTTCACGGTCCCAAACCAGCTGCAATGGTTTGATTGTTGCCTGTCATACTAATATTAGTCATGTACATGGGTACTGTAGCGACTGTATAATCTCAAAAGTTTATTATCTAGTCTGGTTCTATCATCTCCTGTATGCTTAAATCGATAATAGCCGATGTGCTTGCCATGAAAGTTTTGACACTGCTTTAAAGCGAGTATCATTGAATCCGAATAGGATTCACGATTCGTTGACAAAGAAACACGTTGGAGCATAAATGTCCATAGACAGCCTGTTAAATCAGTTTTGGGCTAACAGTCAGTAGCAACAATGTATGCGTATAGAGATGCGCACATCTTAAACATATCCCATTTCCTTCTTTCTCTCCTCCTCTCTTCCTCTCTTGCTTTTTATTTCGTTGCGGCACATGGAAAGTAAGTATCTCGCCAAGGTTATACATTACCACGACGTTTCTAAGTGAAAGAACAAGCCGCTGAAGCAACGGAAAGAGGTTTTGATGAGCCAAGGAGCTATGTAGCAACAATAACGTCGTTCATCATTCCATATGCTTTTTTTATTGGCAAGGTGGCTGTATCATTGCAGAATGCTTAAAATTACGCTGAAGGCGGATGCGCATGGGATATAATGTAAACGACATACGGCTACACTTGATATACTGGATCGAAAGTGCAATATTGACAGATGCATGGCGCTTTAATTCAGCACTCATATTCGTCGGAAATACAAACATTGCATGTAGCCAATAAACCAACGCCCTTGACTTTAATACTACAGCCACCGGTTCTCCCTTCTCTGTAAAGCGCTAAACTCACTCACTCCTTCTTTGGTCTCTGCTGCAAAAGAGAATGGACTCCCAAGGACGATCAATCCTAAGCTCTTACGAATCAACCGAGCATGCGCTTCTTGATTCCTTCAAAACTGCAGCCAACAAGGTCACTGCTTTGTACAGGGATTCGCTTACACAAAATCGAAGGGCTTTTGGTGCAGGTTATCAACAAGCATTTCAAGATCTATACGGATTTCTCAGCACACACGCCAATGACGAACGAGACACGATGCCCGTAGAAGACATTCTTTCCTTTCTTCGTCAAAAAAGTGCACAGCTTGCAGAAGAACTAGGTGAATCTCCAGTAACAGTACCTAGAGCACAAACTACAGCAACAACGACAACGACGCAAACGACGACAACGACGAGCAATCAACAAGACCATGGCGAATTATTGAAACAGCAACAGATCCACACAGAGGCACAACAACAGCAACACCCAATCTTTTCCACACAGATCATACCATCCACACCGGCCGGGTTCCAGATTGACCCCAACACACAATTCACTTTTACGCCGCCAGCAGCAACGGGAACAGTACCGTTACCTCGATACGGCGGGTTAAGCACGTGGGGTAGCGACACATATCAGCATGAGAACCATGGCGATGCAATGAAGCGTCGATATGGAGGATCAGATCTTACGTTTATGGGACGACCTTTGAGCAACATGAATGTGGACTCAATGGAACCATCACTGAAACGGGGAAGGACCAAGCGAGAGGATTTGTAGATATAGACGTGTTGTGTGTGTATGTGGTTGATCTATTTCTTTGTATTATAACTTTGTAAACATTTGACATTTTCATACTTCCTTTTTTTATCCAAATAATTAATCATTTTCTTACATACATAAAAACATCATTTATACAGCATAAGAAACTTTTTTTGAAAGGATAAAAGCAATGGCAAATATAATAAAAACAAGGGGAGGAGGAGGTGGTGGTGGTGGTCGTGGTAGGTTTCTTCATTCTAAGCGTTTTCACGTTTTTCTATCAGCAAATTGCGCAACCATTTGACTTCAAGTTCCAGCTCGTTCACGCGGTTTTGCAGTCTATCCGACTTGCTTTTCATGTCCTGCACATTCTTTTCCATGGCCTGTTCTCGCAACTTCTTTTTCACTCGGAAACGAGCACTTGCTGCAGTGTTACGCCGCCGCTTATCCTCTTCAGCTGCGACCTGGTCATCCGTTCGTTCGTCGCTGACCGCTCGCTTCTTTTTCCGTGCAGGTTTCGGTTGTGATGCCACTGCTTCGTGCTGGTGTTGAACAATGGGTGATGCTGCTGCTGCTGCGAGTGGCAACGAATCCAATGCAACTGGCTTGGGGAGAATCGTCGGTCGTCGGGGATGGGTTCGAGTAGTTGCTGGATAAATAGGGACATAACCATTCAGAGTGGCAGGTTGAATGGGTTGTGGGTGCGGTTGAGGTGTAATGGGTGCAATTGGGGCATATTGCGAAGACCGTTGCTGCTGCTGCTGTTCTGATTGCTGGTGAGCCTGTTGTTGCTGAGGCAATTCATAATCGAGGTACTCGACCAACTTTTCATAGGTAATTGGATCCAATACGTCGCTGGGACATTCTTCCTTTACGATCGTACTGTTTTCATTATTGTCATTATTGCTGTTTTCGATCTTATCGTCCTCTGGGCCAGCTTGTTTCCCGGGATTGACGTCGAATGTGAATTGGGCATTGCTCTACATAAAGATTGGAGTTCAGTTTTTATTTAATATAGCGAAAAGAGAGAGAGAGAGAGAGAGAGATGCACAAAAGACATTTATTTATATTAAAATTATTACCCATAATGCCAACTCTTCGGCGGCATCATGTTCCGACTGTTCCGTTTCAGCAATGGTGTCAAACACCAAGGAATCAAGCGGTGACCCGAACTCGGGCAAGCCGTACGATGCCATTGACGATTTTTTTTTTCAAAAGTGATGTAGAAAGAGAAAGAGGAAGCAGAGCAACTGTTTTCACAAACTAACTTTTGGCTTTGAAACACCGGTCGGTGGCGGGTGATTAATGACACCTCTTTGATCTGCTTACAAAGCGAGCCCTTCGCATTTTAAGTTTTCGGGTCCCTTCGCGCTAATGAGCTTATCATCTTCTGTATGTCATTTACAAAAGGTAAGCCAAAAACAGCTCCTTATTTATTATTATTTGTATCGTGAAAATGTAATTACATGTCTAAGGTGTCAAAGCAACCTCTTTAGGCAGCAGCCCTGTGAAAACCTTTTCTGTCGCGGCACACAAACGTCTCCACCATCAAAAGATCTCCGATCGTGCTCCATATAAGGAAATTGCTTTTCGCGAGAGAGAAAGAGAAGAAATGTATTTGTTTATTTACAGCGAACATCTGGGGCAAAGTGAATATGCGTGAGCGCGCTTACACTTCCTGTGGAACGTGGCAGAAAAAAAAGAACAAGTGTTTTGATTGGCTATGTTAACAGCAAAACTAAACTAAGTCTGGAGATGTGAGATAAACTTTTCGAGCCTTCTACTAGTCGTGGCTCATATATAAAACAATAAAACGTTATAACATAAATATCTTCTAGACAACGTAACAATCAATAAAAATATTGCAAGTTATACTGTATATGCTTCTTCAAATATAATCGACTGTGTAGAACTCTTACGATAAGGGTGATCGAGCAAGTTTTACAAAAACAAGCAACTATAACTTTATATTAATACAACCAGAAAACAATGCTCAACACGGTCAGTGATTCATCGACTGAGTTTAGTCAGTTGTTCGCGTCGTGTGCTTGTTGATCGTCGTTATGACAACCAATGCTGCATAGGTTTGCTATGTATGCACAGCGTAGTTGCTATATTATAGACAAGCAAACAGCAAGCAATTTGACGGAGAGATGTCCTAAAATAGTAGCGTCTGAGGCATTATCTCTTGCGCTGACTTTTTTTTTGTGAGTCAATCAGTTCTTTTTTTTTTATTCCACCTTTAAACAATCTATCACCACTACATATACATATAACGACACGACAGATCATGGGGCAACTAGATCGGTACTACATTAATACCTTGAAAAAAATTATTGTCTCGAAACCCCCTTCATGATCTATACAGAGTGCCATTAACCGTTTAATGTCTTGCCAAAAAAAAAAAGACAACTCGAGCAATTACGCAATGGAGAATTTATCTCAGAGCAAGAAGTAAAAGAATTATGCCAAAAAGCAAGAGAAATCTTAGTTGAAGAAAGCAATGTTCAGCGTGTCGATGCTCCAGTAACGGTACAATGAATAAGATAAAAATAAACTATAAACCAACACCCGTGAAAAAGAGCACTCATCTATGACGATTCTCTTTTAGATCTGTGGTGACATTCACGGTACCGATTTGATTCACGAAAAAGAAAAAAATAAGAAAGAGAATGAACGTTCCGTTTTGCCTTATACTTTACTTATAATCTTGATGAAAAACTATTTTTTAGGGCAATTCCACGATTTAAAAGAACTCTTCACAGTGGGCGGCGAATGCCCCGATACAAACTACTTGTTTATGGGTAAGTCCACGGTTGCAAAAAAGGATAAAACACCAAGAAGAAAATGAGGAGACACCGGTCATGTTGCTGCTGTTTATGCTGATAGATGTGGGGCTTTATATTCACAATTGTTGTTTAGGTGACTTTGTGGATCGTGGGTTTTACTCTGTCGAAACGTTCTTGCTGTTACTGGCATTAAAGGTGCGTTACCCTGACCGAATAACGCTTATTCGAGGAAATCACGAAAGCCGGCAAATTACACAAGTGTATGGATTCTATGAAGAGTGTATCCGCAAATACGGATCGGCCAATGTGTGGCGATACTGTTGTGAGATTTTTGACTACCTCAGCCTGAGTGCCATCATCGATAACAAAATCTTTTGCGTTCATGGAGGATTATCACCAAGTATAACCACACTGGATCAGGTAAAGTGAAGCAATCAGGAGGACGGGGGGTAACATTGTGTAATTAGCCAGAAAAGAATTAGCCTGGGTCTCTCTGTGTATCTCTACTATGGATTTATCTCATATGATTCATGTGCTACTGCTACTAGATTCGAACAATTGACAGAAAGCAAGAAGTTCCACATGATGGTGCAATGTGCGATTTATTATGGTCGGATCCTGACGGTAAGAAAAAGAAAGGGGGTCGGATATATGACGATGATAATGAGAAAGACAATTTCTGATAAGTTGGTTTCTGGTTCTTGCAGAGATCGAAGGTTGGGGTTATAGTCCCCGAGGCGCAGGCTATTTATTTGGTGGCGATGTAGTACAACGGGTAAAGACATCTTTTCATATGTTTATGATGCTGGGACTATGCGTGACACCAAGCTCACTACTTGCTCTTTTTAAGTTTTTACAAACAAATGATCTGGAATTGATTGCACGAGCGCATCAGTTAGTGATGGAAGGTTACAAGCTGATGTTTGACAATACAATCGTCACTGTATGGTCTGCACCAAATTATTGTTACAGGTACATATCATTTTCACTTGTTGCCTGTCCATGCAAAGAGACAATTAACTTATGCTGTCTTGATTTGGATTAGATGCGGCAATATTGCGGCAATATTAAAGCTGGATGACAGTTTGAATCGCGAATACAAAATATTTGATGCTGCACCACAGGTATGCTAACGAGTTTATCATAAGATAGAGGGTAGAGGGGATTTGCGTATGTGCGTGTGTCTGTCTTGTGTGCATAAACCTTGTACGCTGATCATTTTTCAATTAAACAGCAGGACAGTCGGGGGATAATATTGAAAAAATCATTACCGGATTACTTTTTGTAGAAAAAAATTGAGACTATGATTTCAGGGCATAATAGTCTAGTATTACGACTAGGGGCATGATATTTCTCTGAACCCTCCTTCTATATCATTTTACTACTACTATAAACCGTCGCCAAAGTAGCGACGCTTGCTCATCTGTGTATATGTACTCTAAAAGATATGTTTATCTTCTGTTAGCCTTTTTGTCATGCGCGCAAAGAAGGTGGATGATATCTAAATAGTAAATGTGATTAGTGACCTACATTCTGCAATTTACATAATAGTGCTGGAGCTTATGCACAAAACAAATAATCCTGTACCGCTATCTCTCTCTCTCTGCTGTAATCGTATAGAAAAGTGAATAATTCATCACAATGCGATTGCTTTGCTCACTTGTTAGTGACGTGAGCAACCTTATTGACTCGACTCGAATACGCGAAAAATGGCAGATGACGTTCTTACTCGGACGATCCGATGGATAGCCATGGAAGTTTCTTACGCTAATACTTGAATTTGATTGGCTAGTATGCGCGCATATATGATGTAGTGAGCGGGCATGACTAGCAGCTGGCGACGCCTTTTTTCTTCTGCTCTTCCTTCTATAATCCTGCTTGACATGCCACAAGCTACAACCGTAAACTACTACGAAGTTCTTGAAATCCATGAACAATCTTCTTCAGATGAGGTGCGAAAGGCATATCGTAAACTTGCCTTAAAGTTCCACCCAGACAAGAACAGTGCTCCTGGAGCAGCTGAAAAGGTATTATTTTTAAAGACCATGCGGCTTTCTTGCATAATTCAAGGTTACGAGCTGAAAACTGACTCATTCGCTTTAGTTTAAAGAGATTAGGTAAAAGCGCAAGATTAACGAGCTTTTGTAAGTCTTGCTTTACTTTTTACATGGACGCTAACTGGTATGATTGTTGCCACTGTAGCCATGCCTATGAAATCTTGTCTGATCGTAAGCAGATATAGACGAAAGAGCGCAGGATGCAGAAGGGGGAGGGGTTGTTGTTGTTGTTGCGGGAAGCATGACGTTAACATTATGTCTTATAGCGGAACGAAGGGAGGTATACGATCGAGAAAGAAGATACGGTGGTCACACGTCATTTGAAGACAATCAATATGATCATTTTGGCGGTTTCCACGTAAGTTTTTCTGTGCCTTTTGTAGCCAATCATCTCTACTTGTAGCAAAATGAACTACACGTCACTCATGTATAGAGCTCTCTTACAGTTCCATTCGCCCGAAGAGATCTTTGCACAGTTCTTTGGCTCTTCCTTTGGTGGCCCCTTTGGTGGTTTCGGTGCTCGTAAGTAGCACTGCCTTTATTTTGCAGTGTGTAGGATACTAACATCTATCTGCTCAAATTTCAATAGAATTTGGCATCGGAGGAGGCAGTCGACCGAGGAGCAGAGATATGTTTGGTGGTGGCATGTTCGCTGATCCCTTTTTCGGTGGCGATGCCTTTGCCCATCACGTCCATCATGATCCTTTCAACGATCCGTTTTTCGGTGGAGGAAGCTCGCGCGGCATGCCTCCCATGGGCGGACCTCCTCCAGCTCCCCCAACTTCGTTACTGGGTGGGATGAATCCACTTTTCTCGTCTTCAGCCAGCTTCAGCAGCAGCAGCAGCAGCTCCAGCAGCGGTGGCATTGGTGGAGTGAGTCGAAGTGTATCGCAATCGACCAAAATCGTCAATGGTCAGGCGCAAACCGTTACAGTCACAAAAGTACAAGATGCAACGGTAAGACTCCTTTATTTTAAGCACATGCGTGGATCACAGTACAATATGATGATAAGCTTAGGGTTCTGTTTATTAAATTCGCCGTTTTCTCCTTTTATCATTATTATGGGAACGAATACAGGGTACAACAGTAACAGAAGATTATGGTAATGGACAAAAACGAGTCATAGTGAATGGTGTGGAGCAACAAAACACATTGGGACAAGGTCCTGCTAGCAGCAGTCGCAGACATATCGCAGATGGAGGAGATGGAAGCGGATACCACGGCAGTAATAGAAGCCGAGTACAACCATATAGCAGAAGACGAAGGTCTTGAAAGGCAGTTTACAATGCACACGACTTATACAAACGAAGGAAACAAAGATATACTTTTACATGTGATTACTGGGACTACTTGATGGTGATCGTGTGTCTGGAAAGAAGCTGTTCGAAATGGTGTTGTTACTGCTGCTGCTAGCATTATCAAAATTGCCTTCCATGGTATCATGAAGATGAGCTGCCGTACATGAGCACGAGTTCAAAATCTCGCATAAGCATCCATTAAGAGGATTTGGTGCTATAAATAAAAGAACCGTCATGTGCATGACAAGAGATCAGATTTTCTTATTTTCGTGTGTCCAGCAGATATTAACTCACTTTTCTCAATGGCACAAGTGCATTTGACATGAGACTTCCTTGTCGCTCGCAAATGACGACAGTGATTACACTGACTGACCTGACGTCCACGTTTCTGCACAGGAATCAACTCTCGGTCGTTGTGCTGACAGTCCTTTACCCGGTGCCCTCGAATACAAGACCGACTTCAACGTTAAAAAAGAATAAAAAGTTAGGTAAAAAAAAAGTGAAAGAGGTAGAAGACCAAGTATAGCAGCATACCAAGCAAATTTCACACCGTCTATAATAATTGCCATTCGAAACGATCAAGAAAAAGGACAAGGAACAACTGAAACCAGATCTACCGATCGTGGGGTCCGAAAATCGAAAAAAGAAGGTTGTGTGGGGAAGAGCGAGCGGCTCTAAATATGTATAGGCGCAGCTTGGATTATCCTGATTTGGAAGCAGCACAAAATGCTCAAGCTGCGTACAGGATGTGGATGGTATATTTTTAAGTTTGGAGTAAAGGAAACTACAACCATGATTGATATACATGCAGAGATAGGATGACTGGCGTGATGACAAAGGTGATAGAGAGGGGAGGGGATACACGTTCTATACTTTCCTACTAAATGACATTCTTGAAAACAGTGAAGAGATCCAAGCCCCCGGTCTTGCTGTCATACTTCGACCCTTTGTCCCTCGTTCTTCATCATCAGCGCTATTGTGCTTCTTTGGTTTGAGGTTCATCATGGTAGCAGGTGGTGGCATACCTCCTGCTGCTGCAGCAGGACCAGCACCAGGTCCGAAATGGCCTCCAGGAGGATAGAACGGCAATGTCAAAAAGTACAATTGTTTTTGAGTGTACGACCATAAGCAGAGGGCCCAGTACATCTATAAATAGTAGCGACAAGATCAGCAAAGCAGAACAAATAGTTGCTATGAACTAGATAAATACTTGCATAACATATGGTAATCATAATAAACAGCACAATGGCAAACTTCAATTCATCTTCCCAAAGCTTATTGCAGTTGTAGAGGTTCGAATCGTCCTGTGGCTCCTCTACCGCTGTGCTGTTGACGCTGCTGCCCAAAAGTTCGCGGGATGATGAGACGCACCAATCGTTGAATTGTGGTCGCTGGACGCCGAATAATATGATATCGATGAAAAAGTTGATGACGAATATAAACACGACGACCCACATGCTACGATGTGCAAGTCGTAGAATCGCTGGTTTGTTCTGTTGTAAATGAAATTCTAGTCGGATCAATATCGTCTATCATCGTTATCGACATCCTCTCTGACTGATGTTCAGGTAGTACTTACCGTGACTAAGGCAAACATGGCAAACAGGGCCGCGACAAGAAATATAATGCAGATGGAGCCCGTTACCATGAGCGCGTGGTAATCTAGATATGAGAATACAGCTGCGAAATGGACAGTATGTATGGACGCAGTGCCGTTAGAAATCAAAAGACCCTTCTCGTAATATATTGTGATTTGCCGATATGATGACAGGATTTTGTTCCTTACGACTTCGACTTTGAAAAGATAGGATTGTAACGTAGAGATTGATGCCCTAAAATATTTCCACAGATATTGAAGATCAGCATATTTTTTATAAGTTTCTAGATGTGCATTCTCTATTCCAAAAAAGCGAACCAGGTATTGTCGACATAACTAATGAATCTTTTCTTACCAGCCATATCAAGCACGCCAATATACCACCGCCTTGTAGTGACATGCAGCCACAAAATTTTCGAGTGTATGAATGTGTTGCGTGTATGTCTTGGTCCCGGAAATAGGGCTCACCAGGATACATTCCCTGATTCATGGTTGGCTATGAATATATGAGGATTGAGTAAGGCGTTACAAGAGAAATGGAAAAGTATCAAGAAAAGAGGTGCTACTCGTTACTATTGTCATCACAAATAAATGAAAAAAAAAGGCCCCCAAGACCAAAAATTCGACTCGAAAACAAGTTGCCTTTTTGGGCATCCATTTCCGGGAACTGCCTTCCCAACAACGACCATCCTCTGTGTCTCCTCTTGTTACAAGATCGGCTAGTTTGTGTTTGCAGAAAGAGCAACGACAGTTACGAAAATTCGTTTTGTACGGTTGACTTTTATGTTTAAATGTCGTTTACAGCCAGCACCAAGTGTCGCTTTATCAACTACAGTCTCAGAAATTGGAAAAAGATGATAAAATATAGAAGAACAGAAAAGTCCTCAATAAAGGTGCTGAGTGACACCAAACAAATCTATACGAGCATAGCATACTTGTATCATAGCAATACTGATACCGCTGTTTTTCTGTTCTTTTTGTTTCTAGACAATTCTTACAAAGTACCGCACTTGACACAGCGGGCTAATAGCATTCGCTTTTTTGAGTTTTCAACAAAGACATTTCAAGCTGAAACATTCTTTTATTTTTCGACAAGGACATCGAATATTTCTCTTCATGGACCCCTGTTGTTAAGACAACAAAACATATATAAGCGAGGGGTTACCGCATTCCGATTTTAGCTAACGTTTCCTAATTCAAACATCAAGCCATCATGGGCGCCGTTGTATCCTGTCTTAATGGAATAGTAACCTCAATAGCATCACTGCTCTCCGGTTTAGTTAGTGGTGTTGCTGGTAAGTTGTCATCTTATATAAAATAAATGAAAAAAGAGCATCATAACAACGATAGTGAATTAATATTTTATAATTTTTTACAGGTTTTTTCAATGCGGTTATCTCTGCTATCGTCAGCTTCTTTACGGGTATATTCAGAGCAATTGGAAAATTATTAACGTGCGGGAGAGGGGCGTAGCACGAAACCTTGACAAAATTATCGACGGCCAACCTCCCCCTTTTGCCGCACTGTATATAACCCCGTATCCTTATAATTCGTTAACATCTTATGTAACAGACACACATAATTGTACACGGTATATAATAACACACATAACTGAACACAGTACAATTTTCTTATGACTATAATTACAATGAGGATTTAATTATGCATACTTTCCAATAAGATTAAAATTGTGTATCAAATAACTGGAAATCTCTCACAAACAGAATAGATGTAGTTCATCATCGTCGACTTCTTGGATCTTGTATTATGCAGTCATTTCAGTATAAGCGACGCTTATGATAAGATGCTTTTCATATTGTTTGAGCTTATAATTTTTAGTTGATCGACATGCAAAGCAATGATAGACTTCTTACATTTCATTGTGCCAATTTAATACGCAACCATCTACATTTATCATATACAGTTTTCATTAACTAAAGCAGAAATTATATTGCATCTAAGCTTCCAGTTTTAATGATATGCGGATGTTCTATGCTCTTACGCAAAAGTGCGGATGCGGCCTTTTAACAGCGAACTCGCAAAAGACAGCCAAATTGTACTACTGTATTGTTCTATGAAATATATCCGGTGACTGTATAGATCATATGTCTTCTAGATTAAAAAGTCAGTGCAGAAACAATGCAACGGTGTATTGAACAGCACCAGTGACCACCAATAGGAAAATGCACTGTATGTCGTTCTGAGGGTAGTCTTGTTGGACTATCACTACTAGAACGCTCTAATGCATACATTTATACTGTACTTGATGATATTACAAATCACAATTAACATCATACAGTGTTATTATCATCAAAAAAGGTTGTATATGTAAAGTGAATGTGCCCTATCTGGCGAAAACTTCACTCAAGTTAATAGTTACGAATTCATTCTCACCAACAGAATTGAAGGAGATTTTGTATGTTATGGCCGAACACATTATGTACAACATGACTACTATGCCAGTCAGTCTATGTGAGTTATGTTGCGTAACTACATGATGCTACAGTGAACCTCGCTGATGTTGACCCATAGGGCGCATATATCTGAAGCGATCAACACTATTGAGGGTTGACCCATTGCGAAGATCTGGATAATTTTGTGTAAAAGATGCTTCTTGTTAATGCTGTCGAGAGTTAACGCTAACGAGGTTGACCTTGACGGTGATCGACCTGTGTATATCAGTACGACCCTAAGTCTTTATGTGAATCCAATCGTGCTGATGGCCAGCATATGGTGCTAACTGCGTCTGTGCGTCTTACATAGCAAGGAAGCAAGCCGTAAATCTTGTGTCCCTGCTGGTATTTTCTATGGGCAGTTATCATGGACATGTTCTCTTTCAGCCGCAACTTTTGAAATCCAAATCAATGATAGGATTACATCCAGGTGAAATCAATATTTTCGCTGTTATGATATAAATACAAGAGCGGCGCTGAATCGTCTTTTGATTCGAACAGACCCATTGCTTTTTAAAAGTAGAAGATTGACCGAACCAAATCTTGAAAGCTGCTAAATAATAGGCTAAGAAGCCATGCGAAAACGTGGAGATAAACTTTAACAATGATTTATCGGAGGAAATGCTATTGTGCAAAGAAAAGATTGTGAAGATCGATACAAGGAATATGCAAATGACATTGAAAAAACAGACACAAATAAAAGTACATTGAAAGGATGAAGAGAAGGAGAGGAAAGTAGAGAAAAATAAGTTGATGGTGTGGAATGGAAGCGGCTGTCGTCTCTACAAAAAGAAGAGTGATGAATAGATGTGTGGTTAGTATAAGCTGGTGCCTTCTTAATATGGCTTTGGTTAGCCCGTATTTGCCAGCATGGCAGCCCAAGATTCAATCCAGCAGTGTACATACATCAGATATATATCGGCAAGGCGATGCGGCAACATCTTGTTCAGGAACAGTCGTTTGAATAGCCATGGCTGGCGTACCAAGCACGTTGACGGCGTGTGCTTCCTTGGCGAACACTAAATAGTTAGAACAAACAAAAAGGCCTATGTGTGAGTGTGTGAGTGTGCATGGTTGAGAGTAAGATACTATTTCAGCAGTCCTCGTTGCCACAAAAGACAAAACACGTCGAAGGGTACACGTCGAAGGATGGGAAGCCTAAGTTGGAGGTGGAGACAAGAAGGATCGACTCTATAAGATGAGTAGAAAGTGAGATAACAAATCCGTTGGGTAAAAGAAGATAATTTATACTTACAGGAAGGCGTGTCCAGCAGCCATGTTTAGCGACGGTCGCTCCCGGCCGTGCATCGAGACAGCTTCGAACGAAGTTCCATAATGATGCACGCCTAGCCCATAGCAGAGCATTCCTACCCAAGACTGCCTTAGTCTTATGCCGGCAGGTCCGTCTCTCTCAAGGTTCCCTGTGGGGCCACCTCTTTACGGGCTAAGATACTGATACCGAGGCCAGCCCGTAGCAGAGATCTTCCTACTTCTCACTACAATCACATTGCAGCGATGCCGGTAGGAATGTCTCCCTCCATGGTTCATCCAAAAGCAGTCAACAACCGCACGGTTGACGTCGACCACAAATGGAGCACCAATACGGGCCACACCATTGTAAAGCCGTACCGTCGCAGGGTGGGAAGCCAAAGTTGGAGGTGGAGACAAGAAGGATCGACTCTATAAGATGAGTAGAAAGTGAGATAACAGATCTATTGGGTGAATCAAGATAATTTATACTTACAGGAAGGCGTGTCCAGCAGCCATGTTTAGCGACGGTCGGTTTCGGCCGTGCATCAAGACAGCTTCGAACGAAGTTCCATAATGATGCACGCCTAGCCCATAGCAGAGCATTCCTACCCAAGACTGCCTTAGTCTTATGCCGGCAGGTCCGTCTCTCTCAAGGTTCCCTGTGGGGCCACCTCTTTATGGGCTAAGATATTGTTACCAGGAAGCCCGTAGCAGAGATCTTCCTACTTCTCACTACAATCACATTGCAGCGATGCCGGTAGGAATGTCTCCCTCCATGGTTCATCCAAAAGCAGTCAACAACCGCACGGTTGACGTTGACCACAAATGGAGCACCAATACGGGCTATACCATTGTAAAGCCGTACCGTCGCAGCATAGTCTATATCAAAAAACAGCGTCATCCAGACAAAATGTTAAGAATGATTGCACCCTACAGAGAGATTCAACGTTTCTTAAAGAGAGGTCCGTAAAGTACAATACTTACACTGTAGAAAACGTGACTTTGCACGTTGATCTTGCCATACATTAGAGCCCTCTAAGAAAAGAAAATAGATTGAGAGCGGGTATTAAGCTTTAAAAGAATAAAAGCGGGACGATGAAGAGGGGGAGGGTAACTGGCATTCCGCGTTACGAATTGAATTTACCTTGCCATGTGGATTATGTGGGTTGGGTGAAGAGATCCTGGTCTGGCACCGCGTACCATACTGGCAGTGAAGCGCTATCTTAAATGGGACTTGTTTTATATGAGGCGCCTAAATAGGGCTTTTTGGTTACACAAAACAGAAAAAAATACGTACTCGAGCTGGTATGCTACGCCGATGGGTCTCGCTCTTTCTTTACAGTATCGTACGCGCACGGCATGGATCGCCTAGCTCATCATATACAGCTGACTGACTCCTCCAAACGACACTTTCTTCAACGAATCTCACAAAAAAAAAGAAGCATGGCAGAAGCGAGAATCGAGCTTTGCTGATACGGAAGCAGCTTCCAAAACCACAAAGACGAAAGCTTTTGCGCATGCTCAGAAATCTCATTCCAAAATTATGCAGACATTAGCTACTCCGACACCTTATTCTAACTGTTTTAGCTGGCTGGGTGCAAAGGTAACGACGAGGCGTACGATGACGCGGAATAAGAGAGCATATAAACAAAGAAAAAGTCATAAAGAAAAGACTCACGAGAAGATGGTTACAGGCATTGCGTACTGGACATCGTGAACTACAGCTGGTGTCAAATGGTTGGGTGGACTGTAAGAGAAAGAAAGGCTGTGCGCAGTGGTCGGAGGGCTGTTAGCATGATTGACAATTTGATGGTGTCAGAAGCTGATTTGCTCTAGCCTTGACGCTGCCATAGTCTATTGGAAAGGATGAGCATATCTTCGACTATACAACTTCCACCAGCTGTAGCGCTATGCCTACCCACCACAGCCATTTGGACTGCAGCACCGGATCAAGACACTGCCTCGCTTCTCCGCTCCCCCACTCTCAACACCATGGTTGCAAACGGTGTTTATGTCTTTGAAAACGCTCTGGGCTACCTTCGGCCACGTATGCCAACAGATGGCAACATTCCCCGAGCCCTTCGCCGCTTCATCACCGCCGTTATGGATGGAACCATCCAGTTGAAACCGTTCTTTGCTCGTCTCTGTCTGTCTGGCGATCGTGCCCTCGGTGGTCACGACAACACTTTCGGCACCATGGATGGCTTCCCTTTGTGGCAAGCGCTCAGCTCCATCCTCGACCAAGTTACCAACACTTGGTGCTATCGAGAACGCTGCCAGCATTCAACCACTCTTCTGATCAACAACACCAGCAACAACCTATCACCCAGTCAATGGGCTACCTTTTGGGCCACCACCATGTTCCATCCGGTGCGCAACAGGTTCCGCACCCTGCACCGCACCTTACCGACGGCCCAACGCCTGCACTATCGCGTCCCCGGTTTTATACCTTCTTCCATTTGTCTGCTCTGCAACTCTGAGCTCGACACAATCCCGCATTTTCTCATCACCTGTCCACCGCGCTGGCGGGTATGGACACAAGTTTGGAGTGTTGTCGTTTACGCCGAACCAACAGTTCTGGGCCTTTCACAGTTCATCACAGAGCTCAATTGGTCCCTTGCTCCTCCATCCACACTCCCCCACTACATCTCCGCCGTCCAGAGTACGCTTCTTGCTCTTTGGCGCGCATACTGGCGGCTGGTTTTCGACCGCATCCCCTTTGACCCGACCATCGTTGTCCAATCTGTCCTCCACCTCTACCACCAACTACATCCTCAGATTTCTGTGGATGAATAATGTCTTATATATCTTAATCTGTACCTTTTTTCACTATTCTTTCGCACGCCACTTCCCTGAACGTGTGACCAACCATTAAAATTTCAGCCTCTACCCGGCTCATACAAAAGAAAAAGAATGAGCATATCCATATCAAAGCGTCTTCTGCAGGTGTGCAGTTAATGACTTCCTCACAGTGCTTGGAACATACAGCTGGGTGCTACCTGTGCTTTTGATGTGTTCGCCAATAAGCCATAGTACTTACCAGAGCAGAAGGTATTTTGTATCATGACGCGATCAGTTACGTAGTTGATTTGTACTATGGAACGTTTACAAAAGACGACCTGCTTTCGTAGCCAGGCTTACAGAAATATGAATATTCTATTAACCTTAATGGGTCGTTTATGAACCAGGACTACTTTCTGGTTGCAACTCTTTATACAGTACCTCACCTGGATGACGTGGTGAAACGCCTCGTTTATTTTATGGATGTGATCCCAGGTTGACTTTTCCAGGGCAGCCCTTGGGCAAAGAATGAGACGAGAGCCGAGCCTTAGATCATCATTAAAATATGTTTTTTTATGAAAGGATGGCGTATACTTTTTTTCTTTTACGCTAAGATGTTGCTATTATGCTAATGATACCATAGACCTAAATCGCAAGTTTTAAATTTCGAAAACTTACTATATGCACCAAACACTGTTATGAGATAATGCTGCTAATTTTCCGATATATGTATAGTAGCGTTTATCGATGAATATGCTTATAAAAAATATCATGCTATTTCCTTTATCATTTTGTCGGGTTGCTTAAAATTGACTTACCAAGCATTCATTTCGACAGACAGATATTCAATAACTTCCTTACTGGTGAGCTTCGTATTGGCTAATTGAATATGTAGTTTCCGAGAATTCTGTGAGTTTAGATGAAACAGTGTAGCAATGGTTGCGGCCCTTTATCCGATAATTCTTAAGTTAACATTTAAGAAATCGTTGCTTCTCGTATAATTTCGTCATGCAAGAAGCATTGATGATTGAGGTTGACTTATTAAGCGGAAAAAGTCTTGGAATTGTAACGAACTATCGAAGAAGTCTTTCCAGTCCCATGTAGCTTTTTTCTACGAAATAGCTAATCGATTGTTAAATAACAACTATATGAGTGATTCCAAGATTATAATCAACTTTTCTCGGTCGTGTTCTCCTGAAAAGTAAGAGCCAAAAAATCAACTGGTATAGCTCGAGTCACCTTGTGCCACAAAAGGTCAACCTTTTCCGCTGAGGACAGCCAGTTGCCATCTCCGTAAGTATATTTATACGTTCAGTGCAGCAGGCAACAAAAGGTTTATCCATAGAAGATTTTCTGTGCAGTACTGAAAAGAGCGAAGAAGGTAAAAGAAATACATATAAAGTAGTACTCTCGTTGTCTCTTCCGCGAAACCAAACACATCAATAGAAGAGAGGAGAGGAGAAGCTAATATTTTACAGACTAGAACTGCAGCTACTCTTCTTTTATGATATTTATTTATAATCCTAAGGGTTAAAAGCAAAATAAAATCCATCAGTACACGACAGGATCCGTGCGTCTGACAACGCGCATGACAGGTTTGTAAGGCAACGTGACGACACCTCCTTCGTCAAACGTGTCCAAATCCGGATATACAGGTACACCATCTTCGTTGGCAACTGGTTCAATGACACACTTGGAAAATAGTCGTACATATACATTGAATATTTCTAGCTCGGCCTTAAAATTATTTCAAAGAGGGTTAGTATTCCTTTCCATATGCGCTCTTTCGAAAATGCCCACTAAAACCTATCCGGGAATACTATACCAGAAAAGCGCCAGGACAGGTTCTCCTAAAGCAGATATACAGTGATGAAACAGAAGAAGCAAGTGGTAAGTCAGTAAGCAGTTCTCATGAGCATCATCAAACTACTACAAAGGCAATAGCAACAGCATTACCTTCCCCAACCAAAGTTAAAATGGTCGCGTCCTTCCACTTGTGAATTTGCTGAAGAATGCATGGGTTTGAGATCACGAAGGTACCGATCTGGCACGAACGCGTGTGCATCGCTGTAGAAAGACTCGTTTCTATGCATAGCCTGCATATTGCAAAATAGAGTCGCTCCTTTCGGAATGCGATATCCACCGCATATAACTAAAACCAATAAGACGGTTGGCTGACAAGAAGACAGCAGATACAACAGAATATAAATGAATTACGGAAGACTTACTCTCTTGATTGCTAACATGGGGCAGTCCAAGATGGGTTATTGAGCGATAGCGCATGCATTCCTTCTGAACAGATATGCAATACGGCACGCAATCTCGATCTTCAAAAGTAGGAAGCCTTCCGTAGGTACGAATGAATTGATCCAGCTCTTCGCGAATCGATTTTTGAACTTTAGGATAACGACACAGAATTGCCATTGACCATCCCAGCATCACGGCAGTCGTTTCTCCGCCAGCAAGTGCCATATCAGCTAAATGTAAAAATACGCGATAAGAAATTAAAAAATTCTTCGTCTTTGCTATTAATCTTCTTTATTTTTTTTCCAAATGATATGTAACTTACACAATGTCACCAAAAGATTTTCGTTGTCGTCACTAATTTCTTGCTGCTGAAGCAGTGATTTGGTAAAGCACTCCACGTCGTTTTCAATCACTTCCGCAACCAGCTGTTGGAGGGAAGTAGTGCGTCGCTCAACAAAACGCTGCATTCTTTTCCTTTTCTGAGACAGCACGTCCCAGATCGACAGGATAGGAAGGAAACCGCTCATTTCCTCTGCAGCTGATGCTAGATGAGATGCTTCGTGCATCCACTCAGTAATATTTTTAAAGAGTGGATCGTCCGTGCTCTCTGCTCTTTTTCCAAAACATGTAGTGGCAATCACATTGACCGCAGTAAATAGCAAGAATGGCATGACATCCACAGAACCGTCTCGATCCGTAGCAGCCAAAAGGTTCTCAATCAGCATGTCGGCTTCAGGGATATGCAATTTATCGAACGCGGGCCGGTTTTTGGGTGAGAGGATCTGGAATACTAAAAGTGTTTGCTGTAGCCTTCTTTCTCTCTGGTTTGCATTTCGTTAAAGAACAAGTATGGAATAAAAAAGGATCTAGAGTGATAACATACCAGCCGCCCGAGTTTTTTTCCATAACAATGACGGGTTAGCACCTGCAATTCCTTTGCCACCCATAGCATAATGGTCGGAAAAGAATGGTGTCTGTGGTCTTTCAGAGGTAAACCTTCCGTTGACATTGAATATTTCATGAGCGAGAAAAGGGTCGCTCACAACTACCCATTGCCTTACTCCCATCTTAACAGAGATAATCGGACCTATCATCAAGAAAGAGAAAAGATTTATTTTTTGAGGATAAGTCAAAGTGTATGATAGTAAATTGTATACTTTTCTTGATTTACAAACCTAGTTCCTTGTTCCAGTTAGTCAACTGCGTAATAGGTTTTTTCCCAAGTGCAAACATGTGGCCTATAAAGCAATTCTGATAAGCTTCCATGTAAAGGCATAGCTCAAAGTCGTACTAGTGTTTTAAATTAATAGGCTTAAAAGTAAATAGTGAGAAAAGCTACCAAAGTAAGGAAGTGAGCTACAGGGTGTTGGTATTTCAATCGCATCGGTTTCATAGTTTTTGCTGTCCTTCGAGGATCGAAGTAATAACCAAGCACAGGCAGCAAGCCCTAGCACCGCAGCGGCTGTGGTGGAGTTTTCAGAAGCATGTTTGGAGACTACTTTATAAAAGTTGGTACCGTGTTGTAAATCCATTTGGGGGGGGGGAAGTAGGTATGTAACGATGAACAAAGAGGAGACAAGCTGCCCAGAAAGTGTCTCGATTTATACTTTTAATCTTCTGTGCTGTACTTCTCTTTTGTTTATGATACTAACAGCGGTCACCCTATAGATGACGTACGTGATTCCTTTTTGTGGTGATGTGAGCTAACCCAATCAGTACCATTAGGGAATTAATAGGGGCACGACAAGTTCTAATAATATATAATAAATAGAATATGTTACACAGAGCAGCATAGCTGACGCTCTTGTGTTAATTATAGCAGATGGGTGGTGTCGTGCCCGTAAGAAGCACAGCGCGTATGTTTTATGCAAGAAGTCAATCGGATGACGTTTGTAGGCGGGACGCGTCGTGCCGGTAAGAAGCATTGATTTCTTGTGCTTATTTAAAGAATTCTGTATTAAACTTACTTGATATAGGATATTCCATACTCTTTCTACATAGAATATGTAAAAGTTTCATAGATGTTTGCCCAGCAAACGTTTATGGTATATAAATATGTACGTCACGAAGTATGATATCAAGCTGACAGCTGCATTCCGTATTATTAAAACAATTGAGAGACAAAGGAATCTATGTAGAGGATGGAAAACAAGAAAAGGAAGAAACTATGATGGTTTAAAATGTATCATAAGAAAGAGAAATACAAAGAGAGAAACCTTTCTATGTAGCGCTGTGAATGTGTAAAATATCAAGTATAGTAGAGGCGCTTCTAAATAAGTGTCAAGGTCTTGAGCAAAGCATGTTAGAGTAAAAACATTAGTGTATTTTGTTTTACTGGGCCTTTAGCTTACCGATTAAGTTTGCGTAAAGTCTATAATCTGTTCTGCTGGGTCTTGTTCTGGCGTCTTTTTAATCGCCAAGTAGCGTCACACGTATTTTCGCAAATCTTTGGCCTCTCCCATAGATCTACAAGCCTCTTGCACATAATGTTCAATTCAACAGTCGTTGACCTTTTCATTAGTACAGTAGACCAATGGATATTTTGAACTAGCTGCATGATGATCGGCATGGGTCTACATTTTTCCTTGTGCCTTCGAACGGTAAGTATAGAAGTGGAGGGAGGGACGAGCTTTCTTCTTCTGCTGGGTAAACGGCGACTGGAACGCGATACGTATCGGCTGCAATTTGGGCACAAGCCGGGGCACAAAACCAAAACTGCGAAGGGCAAAAGTGTTTTGAGCCTTCGTGTCCTTTTGCTTTGTAAAATAAGTTAGTACAGTACTGAACACCATGATCGAGGATACTCAAATATAGAATGATACCTTTTTCTTCCTGCTTTTTTCCAGATAGTCGTCTTCCAAATCTCTTTTTCCAGGTAGGATAAACTCCATACCATCGGGTTCGCTTGAAGTTGACAATGTCACTTCTCGGTCTACAAACAATTTTTTCTTGGCCATTTTATCCTCCTTATCCAAAGTTTCAAACTTCGATGGTAATCTTTTCCTTTCGTTTCTTTTGGGGCGCCCTTTTGTTTTTACGTTCTCTGGAAGAAGCAGGTCATCAAGCTTGGTTGGAGAATATGTTTCTATAACACTGCTCATCTCTGCAAGGAGGTCGAACTTTTGTTGATCAGATTATAGTGAATCTACTGCTTGCTGTAATCTTTTTACAATGTCGTTATTTGCGATCTTTGTACTTCGTCATCGCTACTACGAAACTCGAGGAGATCTATGATATAGAATAAACAAAAGCGTCAGTACTATGTATTGGGGCTCAACATAATATGATGAATGTTGAAAATCTAATATACTGTACCTGTGTCATATTTTTAAGTGCCAGCGTTCAGATATATGATTCAGGCTCACATATAATCCCGCATGCACGATGTGATGTTGACAAGGTAAGCCATAGTTAATCATAACTCGCACATACAGCCCGTATGACTTTGCGTTTCTTTCCGGCAGTCTCCCATGCTTTTTGCAGCTCATTTCTTATCTTGCTTAATGCAAAAAAAGACACTTTGTCAAACAATTCTTGCATCGCTTGCATTTCCAGTCGGTCATATATTGGCTTGTTACTAATACTGTGCAGGAACTCTTTTTCTTCTTCTTGCATCTATTTACCGGTTCAGTATATGAGACACTGTTTCAAAACACAATAGTTACATATTCTTTGGAGGTTACCGATTTTTCCATGACAGCGCTTATAGCTTTGAAAGTACGGAACAAGCTACCAGTGGTTTGCATGGTGTACTTGAGTTGCCAATGAATGCCTTCAACGCGCGATGTTGAGCGAAGCCCAAGGCTCAGAAGGTTACCGACGTAGTGGCCGCCCCACTTTACCTTGAAAGTAAGATATCTTACCGGTAGTCAGTAATAAAATATTGCTAACCAAACCTCTACCATTACCTGTCTAACTTGAGCTCTTTTTTTTGCAGCAAGGCTAGCAACATATTCGGCTTCTTTTAAATTACATTTGCTTAGTCGATTTGTTGTCTTCTTCTTTCTTTTCTTCTTTTTCATCTTTTGGCTCTAAGGATTATTATGCTTAATATTCACAAGCACTTTCTTTTCCAGTTTGAGGTTAAATCATAATAGATATGCTTTTTATCATAGATAATTATATAAAATGATAGCAATGAAACTTACTTTCTTCACTATTTGTTCTTGCAAATGCCAACGCTGCCTTTTCCGCCAACAAATAGTAAGATTCTACAGCTTCGTCGAAACTTTCTTGGTCTCTATTGGATACTAATGTATCAATGCATCGTCGTACTTCGTCTATCTCCGGGCTTTTGGCAGGGAAACTACCACCCAGGTTGGTTCTGAGGTGCGGGGTTACATGCCATCCGCATAAAACATGTTGCGATTCTGGGAACGACTGCTCGATTGCTCCAAGTAACGACCTTTCTTCGTCTGTTATAAATATACCGACGATGGTTTGCTTCAAAGTGTCGACTACCCATTCATACGAAGCTGCTTTTTTCATTGGTAACAAAAATGGATGCGACCAAGACATTGCGCAGATCTTTAGTACCGAGGTTGCTGACAGCCACAACATTGATCAACGGCATTTTCGTGGTATTCGTTTGATAAGTAGCATCCAACGCTATTATTTCAGTGAATCTTCGAGCTTTCTCGAGGGCAACAGGATGAGTAGCAAAATGGCGTCAAGAGATTTAGAGCTGCTGTCGACTCGACAACGAATGATGTAATCTCGTGCGACTAAGTTCTCGAATATGCGACTAAATTTGCCATGACGATCTTCGTCGAAAACCTGCTGTCGAAAGTTGTAAAGATCACGCAAATTCATAATGATGCCGTCGTCGGTATTCTTCAATTGCTTCCATATTTGCAATGGCTTACTGCCACTATCTGTCATCGAAAGTATTTGCATCGACATTTCTTCGTCTGGCTTGCGGTTCACGGCGTAGTAATCGTCATTTTTGTCAAGTGGGTGATTATGTTTGTTGAGCTTACGAATTTCACGAGCCATTTGCCGCCATCGTTTACAGCAGCTCTCATAATCCAGGTACATCCACTCTTGATAGTCGACCTTTGCCGTTGGCGCGTCTCTCCTTCGTAACGGAGTGAGAGTTTTTGTAATATTACCCGCCATGTGCGCAATGGAATGTTGCAGCTCTCTTGTTGCTGTGTATTGTAGATATTTTACATTCATTCTGATAGCCAATGCATTAGCAGCGATCTTTATCGATTGTTTTGACACGAATTGGCGTCCAAGAAGCTCTTGCATATAGTCGTGATCCATTGTCGATACTGGAATAGTACTTTGTGATTTATAAGTTACATAGGATTAAGAAATCAAAAGCTCATACATCCTTGTTGCAGAACGTCTGTAAAAGTGTCGGCCCAGGTAATACTTACAATCGCGAGTGTGAGTGAGTGGATGACAATGTTAACAATAACAAACAACAGGAGATAGGACTCGAATATGTCAAAGATAAAGCGATGAAGGATCATTTTCAGGATCCCGTCTGTATATAGTACATCTGAATAACTATCGGGTTATATGTCTGCCCTACTTGATTTATATTCATACTTCTATATCTAGTGTCGTTATTATATTATTCATCGTCCCGACCACTGGTAGTTCTAACAGCCGCACCGTAGGTTGGATATTGTCTTAACGGTTCACGCCGTTACGATGTCTATGCTCAGAATTTATATAGGTATTCACCAATATCCTACTTAGTATGTTGAATGTACGAAAGGCTATAAAGCTTTCTTCGCCTGGTTCGTTTGGTTCCTTTCATCCAAGTAGCTTTTTAGACGGCTGGTGTTGTTTCAGCACCGGTGGCTAAATGCTCCCCAACCTCTGCAAATCGCGATCCTGATAAATCGGTCAATCGTCAAGTTCATAAGCACGACATTTATTCATATATTTGGTGTTAAGGAAGTGGCAAGAGTGCTTTAAAAAATAAATCAAGGCAAGTTTTTACTAATACGTCTTTCGAATGCCCTCCTTACGGGCACGACGCGTCCCACCTACATATGTCATCCAATTGACTTCTAACATAGAACATACGCTCTGTGCTTCTTACGGGCACGACACCACCCATCTGCTATAATTAACACAAGAGTGTCAGCTATGCTGCTCCGTGTAACATATTATATTTATTATTAGAACTTGTCGTGCCCCTATCAATTCCCGTACCATGATTGTACTTTTTACTTGCTACAGAAGACAATGATGGGTCACTGTGTTTCTTGAACGCATCATGGACCACGACATACATGTATGGTTGTACATATCAAGCACAAGATGCTAACCATCTTTGCTGTTAAGCGCGTAATAACAGAATGAGCCAGTGGGCGGCTTGAAAAAAAAAAGTGATACGATAGAAGTACGATGCTGATCTGAAACAATATAACTCCGAAAAGAGGATCATTTCTTTTGGAGATGACGAGGGATGAACGCTGCGCAAGCTTTACAAGGTTTCAGCTACTGCAATGCTGTACAACGTAGTACCGTATGTGTATTCACTTTACCATTAAAAGAACCATGCATGATGACGTACTTGTGGTGGTACATAATACACATTGCTGGGTTTGCTATAATCTGGGTTTTGCATTATTGTGTACGACAAATACCCCAAGATGTACCACGTAGTACTAAATCCTCAAGATACAAATTTTTATGCAACTGTTTTTGTATCGAGAGGTTCGTTGCTGCCGAACAGGGTAATTCTCTCTCTCTCTCTGTCTTTTCTTTGTAGACCAGACTAGAGCGAAAATGCTAAAGAGCGCTGCGTTCACAGTCATCAAATAGAACTACAAATATGTTAGGTCTAAGCCTTTATTATGATATACTTTTATCAGGCAATTGATAAGCGGCACTCATTCAAATTTGTTCCTGCTGCCAGTGATGGTAGAGCCATTTTTTGTTTCTGATAATAGCTTGATTAAGAATAAAAGCAGCCAAACTTTATGCTGTGTAAGAATATTAACACTTGGAAGAAGTAAACGAATAGCAGTACATTGACCTTCGCCAACATTGATGACACAATGGTTTACAAAGATCATCTGGACCGACGCATAGGTGGAAATTGTTCGGGTGATTACGATTATGATAAACACGTTGATAACGTATGGTCAATGCAGTTGCCTAAAAAGCTGCAATATCACAAAAGAGAATGGTCAATGACACAATTATTTCCCCAAAAGGTGCTGCTGTATTCCCACTCAGCACATCAGCACGATTATAAGCTATGTAAGCGTAAAAGTAGCAGACTATTAGACCGTTGGACATATTTTACGACGATGATCAAAGTAGTTTTTTTTTTCTCGAAAAGATACGAATGTTGACCGGAGTAGAAGCATGAATATATATGTGGCATACTAACTTTTGTTGACGACAAGCAACCTAAAAATGGCGTGGCGATGCTCGGGCTGTCAAAATTCTACAAGTGATCAGCAGGGGCTGCGCCTAGGTTTTTTTTCTCGTTTTCCTTTCTCCTCTTTGTTGAACTTGACGTGCTTGTTACACCCGTACCTTTTCCAAATCACAGTGTCGTCAATGGAAGCAAGAAAAAAAGTAAAAGTTCTCTTTGGTTTTCCTTTCAAACACTTGCTGTAGTTTTCACTGTACGTTGCATCTAGTATATTAATAATCATATGATCTTTTCATCGTTAGAAAATCGAAGAGTTGCGCAGCGAGTACGAGGCCTTGTGCAATGAGTTAGAGTAAGTAATCTATCAAGGACCCAGAACATAGAACGAAGCCAACATGAAATAACTGCTTATGTAATGAAGGATGGATGAAAAGGATGCTGCACGAGTGTTCCAGCGACGTATTCGTTTGCTGCACGAATTTAACGATCTCAAGGACACTGCCACCATGCTGATTGGAATCGTAAGCTCACAACCCCAGTTTGTCTCTTAGAACCATAGCACAATCAACAGAAAGAAAAGAAGTATGAATGGATTGATTCATTTGTTATTATTTTTTTATGGGCCATGTACAAATCATACAAATGCACTACGATTATTTCAAGTATGCGCAAAAGACTGGCAAGACACTACATCAAGTGTATGAAGATTTCAATGTGGACAGCCCTACAACAGAATAAAGAGAGATTGTTGCTTTTCATCCCCCTCCCCTCCTTTAAGCGTTCTTTTGAATACCATCCTTGAGAGAGCTCAGCAGCTTGTTTCCATCCTTGGCAAAGTTGCGAATACCTTCAGCCAACTTATCCACCGCCATGGCATCCTGATTAAACTCCCAACGGAACGCATTTTCATCTGTGAAAAATGTGACTTTCTCCTGCTTGTCATGCTGAACTGCCTGGTCAGTACCCAGTTTCTGCGCAAGCTTGCCATTGTCCTTGGCGAGTTCGGCCAACAATTTGGGTGAGATGGTCAAAAAGTCACAGCCAGCTAGTTCTTTGATCTCTTCGACCGAGCGGAAAGAGGCGCCCATCACAATAGTCTTGTACCCGTGTTGCTTGTAATAGTGGAAGATTTTGGTGACGGATTGAACACCCGGGTCGTTCGCTCCTTCATAGTCAGTGCCAGGCGCGTTCTTTTTGTACCAGTCCAAGATACGGCCGACAAAGGGTGAGATCAGAGTGACGCCAGCTTCGGCACATGCGACAGCTTGTGGGAAGCTGAACAACAGCGTCAAGTTGCAGTGGATTCCGTGTTCTGTTTCAAGAGTCTAAACATGAAGAGAACGCACACGACCATCAACATGTCTGGCTGGGTTTTTTTTTTTAGATGTGGTTATACGCTAACTTACATGAGCAGCCCGAATGCCTTCATACGTAGAAGCAATCTTGATCAAGATGCGCTTCTTATCGATACCAGCATCAGCGTACAATTGAATCAAACGCTTTGCTTTTTCGATAGTGGCCTCTGTTGAAAACGAGAGCCGTGCATCGACCTCAGTCCTAAATTTTACAATGAGTACAAACAAGTCTTTTTGTGAAGAGAGGGAGAAAAAGCTTACTGGCTGTCCCTCCTATTGATGTATTTTTTTTACTTACGAAACTCTTCCGGGTACAATCTTGAGAATCTCGATACCAAAGTTCACCAACAGCTTATCCATAGCCCAGCTTGCCTGATCGTCCAAAGAGCCGCCTTTGCTCTTACCAAACTGGATGGCATCTTGGATCAACTTTTGATACTGCGGCTTTTCAGTAGCTGCCAAAATGAGCGATGGGTTTGTGGTAGCATCCTGCGGCTTGTATTCAGCAATAGCTATTTGGTAAGAGATGTGTTAGCCTCCTCTTTCTTGGATCTTTGTCTTTTGCCCACGGCCTATACTACTCGTTCTTCTTTACGAGCCACACTCTGTATGACAACATACTTTCAAAGTCGCCAGTATCGGCAACGACAGTGGTGAATTTTTTCAATTGTTCAAGTACGGACATGATTGGGGTTGTTACAAAAAGAGTTGTGGAATTAGAGAAATAAAAAAAGCGCGCAGTATAATCAATGCATGGGGTTTATATATTTTTTCTTTTCGTGTGTGCTGAGTTTATTTTTTTTTTTGTGGATGCATAATATTGAGATCAAACCCCCAAAAACCTAAACAGAAAGCATGCGTTGGGTGCGGAAGGGGGAGGGTGTAGGAAAGATGTAATTATGATATGTATTTTACTATTTAGTACTAGCTACAAGTGATGCGTGTGTATGTGTTTGTGTGTTGTATGAGAATATTGTATGAGATGGCGCAAAGAGAGAGAGAGAGAGAGAGAGAGAGAGAGAGGGAGAGGAGTATAACAAATTACAGCAGAAAAGGAAATTCCACTATAATTTCATGCCCTCAGCAGTGAAATCCTGCTTCCAGATATACTCTGGCACAAACACCTCTGGACTGATTGAACAGTTGTGCTTGCACGTATATACATACAACGAGCCCCAATCCAACGAATCATCCGCAGTGTGGGAGATGCCCAAGTAGTTGAGCAATGTTGGCAAGATCTGGAACTCGAATGTCCGTGGTCCACCACATCGATCACACGCCGGCACCATCGATGGCTTTGAGCCCTGTTGCACCCACAACGGTTCTCGGTCGGGCATGTCATATTCCACACGTTCATAACGAACGACCTGGTCCGGATACAAGCCAAGCTTGAGCTGGAATTTGAGAAACGCTTGATCCACGTCCACCGCCGAGTTCTCATAGGCTTCGTCGCCTCGCAGTGCGAGTGCCGTTTCGTTGGATCTTTCGCCCGTTTCTTTCGACGTGTGCTCCTTTTGTGCCTCTTCCTCTTTTCCATCCTCGCCTTGTCCTTCGGGTTCACTGACAATCTCCATCTCAGTAAACAGACGAGCAGCACGTAGCTTTGTTTGTTCTTTTGCGTTGCTGTTGTTACAGTATTGCTTGTGTCCACAGCTGTTCCAATCGACTAATTGATGTTGGCGCGAGCAATAGTATGCTGCTTGACATTTGCCACATGCTTTGGTGCCTGCCATGCCACAGATAACACATTCTTTAGGTGGCGTGAAATGCTTTGGTGTAAAATCAATTGCGACGTCGTCTTGTTCTTCGTCCTCGTCTTCTGGTGGTGGATAGTAAGGGTTATCGCGAGGCAGCTGGCTTCGGTATACTTTGAAACTATAACAAATGGGGCGGGTTTTTTTTTAATTATACCATCCATACTTTTTATCGCGCCCACCCCCCCTTTTCTTTCTTTTTTCTCTCTCACCATTGTGTCCAATCTTGCTTGTGACAGCCGCCGTTCTTGCAGCAAAAGACATAGACAGCACGATGGAATGCTTCTACAGGCTCGTCTTCGGGTGTGTACAGCTAATAAATATTCGATATCAGACAAACACTTTTTGGACGTTTTACCCAAAGAAGAAGAAAAAAGAGTTATACCTGTAATAAAAGAATCAAGGGTTCACTACAATTACCACATGTGGCATTTTCAACGTCGAGAACATGCTCAGGATTCAACCATGCCTATATTGATACATGTACATGTGTATGTGAGCGTCTTTTTTTGCCAGAAAATTATACAAGTCGCGTGTGTTTTTTTTTTTTTTTTTGGCATACAGGCTTGCCACCCGATTTACTAGGAAAGGTGTCTGCTGTTAACGGTGTCTCGGGATCTTCACAATAACCGAGCTGAGAAACCCATTTGTCTGCAGCAACAGCTTCGCTTAATTCGCGTTGGTCGAGTTCAGAAACGTCGCTGTCGGTATCGCTCATTATCAATTAGATGCAATGTGTTTTTTTTTTTTTTCAATCGATCGAGGTATTTTTTTAAAGAGGCGCACACCACACACCAAAGCCACTTCCTATACGCCTCACCCCATAAATAGAAAATGGGGGATCGCTGTCTGAAACCTTTAATTTGGTGTTCTGCTTTGGGGAGAAATGCATTAACAAAAAACTAGGTCCTTGTATCCTTGGCACTTAAAAAAAAAAAAAGACGCGTCCGCCCTTTCTTTTTCTTTTTACTTACTCATCCGTTTGCCCCACATTGAAACATACACATACACATCCACCATTCCTTCTACAATGACACTAGAAACTATGGACATTGAATCGTTACCACCAGATGACCATAACGTGAAGCGATTCAAGTCTTTACAATACAGATACCTGACAGTGTACTTGGTTGTCATGGGTAACATTTACAATAACAATCGTGTTCATCTATTTTAAACACTTGCTAAAACAGTCGTCTTTACAATAGGTGCTGACTGGCTACAAGGTCCTTACTTGTACAAGTTATACCAATCCTACGGATTCGACCTTGTCCAGATCGCCTTTTTGTTTTTGACTGGCTTTGTCAGTGGCGCCATTGGCGGCACAGCTGCTGGCAGCATGGCTGATTCCTGGTAAGGGTGTCTTGATTCTATCACACACAACACAACACAATTATCTATGCCACTTTTTTTTATTTTTAATTCCTCGTGTAAGCTAAAATAACTAATCCTCTAAAATCCAGGGGACGACGACGAGGATGTTTTCTATTTTGTGCAACCTCATGTCTCTCATTGTTCCTTCGTGTTTTCAGCAGCAACTACCCACTGTTGTTCGTGTCACACGTTTTGTCAGGAATGGCAGCATCGATGCAGTACAGCGTGTTTGAGGCATGGTATGTGGCCGAACACACGACGCAGAATCTGCCTGGAGAATGGATGGCACGTACATTTGGCAAGGGCACATTCTTGAATGGTCTGGTTGCGATCGTTGCTGGTATCGTCGCCAATGCCGTCGTGGATCTCTGGGGGTATACCGCGCCTTTTGTCGTTTCCATGGCATTGGTCGTCCTGGCTGCTGGGACGATCAGCTCTACGTGGGCTGAAAACTATGGTGAATCGTCGTCTGGTCAGATCCAATTGATGCGAACGCTCAAGGAGGGTCTTCAGGCCTTATTGCGAGGTATAACACGACATTTACTTTTGCCAGCAAAGGAGGGGGAGGAATCCTTGTTTTAGATGCTAAACGTGGTGAATGTAGATTCAAACATCCTTGTGCTGGGTGCGGCACAGACTGTGTTTGAGTGTGCCATGTACATCTTTGTGCTTTTGTACACACCTGCAATCGAAAAAACAGCTGCAGTATATGGTATGTGGTTACACACACTTACGGTCATGCATGTGCATGTAAGAATGTTAATGGATTTGTGCCCATTTCTTAGTGGGCACAGACGAAAAGAGTCAGGAACTGCCACTGGGCTATCTGTTTTCGACCATGATGTTTGCTGTCATGATGGGATCGCTTACTTTCCAGACACTCGAGCGTCAATCGTCCAGCTCTTCCGCATGGCGTCTGGCGTCGTGGTGCACCAAGGATCGTCTGTTGGTTCTGGCTCTTGGTCTGGCTAGCACGTCATTTGGCGCTATGATGTATGACGAAGCAACTTCGGTAAGAAGAAGAAGAATATGCTTATATATATATATATATATGTATGCGCGATCTACAGCTAAATTGCGGGGGATATTATCAGTTGCCTATACTAGTTGTCGCCTACCACGTTTTTGAATTCTCAACCGGGCTTTATTACCCATCACTTTCTTCACTCAAAGCCGAAGCTATCCCTGAAGAGACGCGTGCAGCTGTCATGACGCTGTTGCGGATCCCAATGAATGTGGGCGTGGGAATCATCATGTGGCATGTAAGTAAGAGTGGTGTTAGCAGTTCTTACCAGGGAGAGAGAGATAGAGACAGGTCTAACTACCCTTGCCTTTTAATTTCAGGTGGATGACCTATCCACACCGATGCTATTCGCTATCTGTTCCTTGATGACCATGGTCGGTGCTGCATTGATGACGATCAAGTTTAGACCCAAAATTCCCCAACAACAGTAAACCTCAAACGAATAGTCTGTCCACCACCCCTCTTCCCTACATCATTTCAACCACTACTACCTCTTTCTTTTGTAAATAGATTGTCTTTTTCTGCTGTTACAAAAACCCTCCCTCCTTTTTTTTTCATATGCTTAATAATGAAAGCAGCGTGTTTCACATATGTTAAAAGCAGGGAACCTGCTGATAATGGGGCAACAGGAACGATGTACTTCAGGAACCCAAGAAAAAAATAATACCCTAAATTGGCGTTTTTATGCCTGCATATAACGCGGAATCTATTACAAGCTTTTTCATTTGTATGCATGCTTAATCGCTCTAGTCGTGTCTCCCCGTTTTTTCTGCACTTTCCTGTACATGCTTCTAACTGCCGGTGGGGGTTGTGGGCAGTGAGTGATGCCATGCGTGTGTATAGAGTAGTTGGCAAAAGACAGATAGTAGAGGATAAATGGAAAGAGAAGGGGCTTATTACCACACAATCTCCATGTGTGTCACGCTGTGGATTGCCCTCTTTTACTGATTATTTTCTGCCCTCTCTTTCTTTCACTTTTCTCTCTTTTTTAAAGTCACTTGTAGCACCACTCATTACTATTGCTACTGCTATTACCTCTCTCTACCTCTTTTTCTTTACCCTAGTCATATACTCGTGAATATATATACACCTTCACTTCACTTTGCCCGGCCATGTCCACTCTTGGCTGCGATTCAGTGGTAATGTATCTGAAGTTCTGTTTTTTTTTTTCCATCCATATCAACTACAATCCCCCACCAATAAACAATCATAGATAACACCCCCTTTCCCTAGCAGCATACTTACCACACTTTGTATATTTTTATATTACAGCAACAACAACAACAACAGCCAACACATATTCCACAAGCCGTTCTCAAAGTTCAGTTTAAACGATTGGTGTCGCAACACAATGCCAAAGGCGTCATTTTCACACGAGACTTGTTGACCCTTATTGACGAATACGAACAACAGCAGGACGTTACATTGTTGACCTTGGACCAAAAGACAGCTATACAACCGTACACGTCTGCGAATCCAGACTTGGAGATGAGCGCCGATGATATTCTTAATTTACTCAAATTGGTCTTTCCTACACCAACACCGTCAAAAAGTAGTAGTAGTAGCTTTTCAGTGACAACAACAACAGCAGTTCGGCCGAGAACGTCACCCCCATTATCGACGGGTCCTCGAAGACTTTCTTTAGATCCCATGCTGGTAGTAGAGGGCAAAGAAAAGAGTTGTGAGGTAAAGAAAAGACCACTCAAATCTATTGTTTATTATTTGAAACTTATCGGCATGATAGAAAGCTACAACAGAGCCAATAGACGAGGATGATACAGACGCAGTAGTGGCTGAACCTCTGGAGACAATGGCAACATTGACAGCATTAGCAGCAACAGTAACAACAACAATGGGAAGCAATATAACTCAACCCACAAAATTGTCGGATGTTGCTGTGGACGAAGAAGATGATGAAGAGGTAAGTTACTTGATATCACATGTCTTTTTTGTGGGAGGGAAGGGGGTAAGAGGGGTGTGAGCTAGAGGAGGGAGGAAAAACACTGGGATCATCTATAAAAACGATAGAGTGTTTAAACAACAACAACAACACATGTATAATGCTATAGCAGACATCCACTCCCAATGTGGCTCAATACTATCGCCGTTCGATCGAATTGACAAGAAGGTTGAAGCTGTCGGAACGTAGTCTGGCGTCAATGACACGTGACAATGAGGACCGCATTGTACAACTACAGAACCGGGTGGATGATATGAATCAAGAAGTCGTCAAGCAAAAGCGGGAAATTCTCGAGTATAAAAGTAAAGAAATGAACAGTCTTGAACAAATCACTGCAGTAGGTTTTTTCATGCTTTTTTTTTGTTTTTGTTTTTGGGAGTGTGTGGGTCGGGGGAAGGAAGGGAGAAGCAAAACCGACCATGGTTTTTTTTTTTTTTTTGCGTAAATTAGCTAGAAGCACATATTGCACACATTGAACGATCAGAGACGGATCAAAAACAAGTGTACCTGTCGATACGCAAACTATTCGATGAAAAGTGCGGTAAGTGTGCATTCCCATTGCATGTGCTGGTTGTCTCGAATGTTATATATCTCACACGCCAAGGGTTGTTTAGAGGAGACACAGGATCTACAAGAAATGTTACGGCACAAAGAGCTTGCGTTACAGAAAACCGAAGCGTTTCTGAGCACCATCCACCATGAGTTCCAACAGTTGAATGAAGAGCGAAACAAGTTGATGGCATTGCAGAATAACCTGGAACGTGAACTGGCCACCTCGCATTATACGCATATGCAGCTGGCGGAACAACGGTCGGAGAACGAACGGTTAAAGGAGATCATTGATGGTCTGAAATGTGATTTGGAAGCTCGAAGCGAGTTGTCGTCGTCCTCGTCCTCGTCCTTGGTTGTTGTACCTTCGGATTCGGAAACACACAGTCTCATTAATGTAAGCATCTTTTTTGCATACGTGCTCAAAGAATTATTTGTAATCTCAAGTCATGACGCCCATTTTTTTCTTTCGTATAGACATTGCGTGCAGAACTCGAAAACCATGCCGAATTTAAAGAGGACAACAGCAACACGAATAACAATACCCATGTGGATGATACTGAAGAACGCATAAAATCAGTTGAGAACGAAAAAGACTATTATAAATCCCAAGCAGATGCTGCTATGCAAGATCTAGATCGAGGTAATAATTTGTTGTTATGAATGTTAGGAAGGAAAAAAAAAAGACATTGATGGATCGTGTTCCTAGTGAAACGAGAATTCAAGAATGCATTGGACCAAGAAAAAGAACTATTGGTCAACCAGCTTGCACATATGGGGATGGAAATACCAGATCGACGCGACGACATTGATAATTTGCGAATTGTCAACCATGGCGATGTGGACGTCAACAACACGGTCGAACCATTTGCTATCCAAGTCATTACCAATGCTGCAAAACAACGACAACAACAACTACCACGACGATCATTTACAGATACCACGATTGATATGATGAATACCACCACGACGACGACACCAACAACAACAACAACGACGGATATCTGGGATCAGTCTCGGATTCGACAACGGAAACTGGATAAATGGAAGAAACGCGGTGGCGTACAAGATCTAAACGCGGTAAGGAGAAAGGGATGGGGGGGGGATGACAGGTCTTTGTAGCCAAATGAAATCTCTAAAACATTCATCCATGTAGTCAACAGCATACGCGGTAAATAACCATATAGCATCACTCGTCGGATCAGCAGAAGGCAGCAGCAGTAGCCATAGTAGTAGTAATAATAGCAGCAGGACCATGACGACGCGATCGAATGACCGAGCCGTCACCAACACAGCAACGTTCGCCATTTATACCCTCCTTGTCTATATCTTTGGAATCGTCACCTCGACGTTCTTATTGGATGGCCAGCCTGGTAGCTGGGAGCAGGCACTGGTTGCCGCCGCCACTCAGCAAGGAGGATCCCGAAGTAAGATCCTAGAGATCCTCATCTACTGGATTGAAAAGCTTCTTTTCGAAGGCGATGGTGTTCCTCTCTCATAATGTTTTGTTTTCTACTTAATCCTTTTACTAAGAAAAATAACACCGTGCATTTTTTTTTTCTTTCGATATTCTAGCATTCTTTCTTTCTCATTCTCCTCCACCTCTTTTTACTATTACTACTACTACTACTACTACTATTATCGTTATCCACTTTTATATACACACACATGCGCACTCACTCACTCACTCACTCACTCACCCAAACCACTCACGTATTCCACCACTACAAAAAAAAATCCAATTCCTTTTGTATTTGATATATATAAATATTTTATGATGATTTCGGGAGCTGAACTGACCAAAAAAAAGAGGGTGGGAAAATTGAGATTGCGGGGTAAATGTTGGGAAGGGGCATATGTATAAAAAGAGGTTTCGGTTCTGTCGAGATCGCCCCCCTTCTCTACTTGTTCTTTTTTCCACTTTAACTTTCTTTTCCAACATGTTCCGTCAAGCCATTAAGCCTACCGCTCGTGTGGTAATGTATCGCCTTGCCGTATCCCCTCCTCACCCCTTGTGTGCAGACATACACACGCTTTCTCTTTATGGCTATATTAACGTCATTTTTCATGATATCGTTTCCGCTGGTGACATGTACATAGTTCCTTGCCCGAGGTTATGCAACCGCAACCAAGTCGCCCAACGTAAGTTTACCATATATACTGGGCCGGGTTTGCTTTCTTTTTTTTTCCTCCGGAAAAACGATTTCGACAGTTTAAAAAAACCTTGTTTGTAATGAATGGTTCTCCATAGGACGTTGTCATTGCCAGTGCTGTTCGTACACCCGTCGGTACTTTCCAAGGTGGACTCAAGTCCCTGTCTGCCCCGAAGCTTGGTGCCGTTGCTGCCCGTGCTGCCATTGAGCGCGCTGGTAAGGAAAACTTCAAGCCCCCAATTTCTAATGGGTCCCCCCTCCATTAAACGAATGCGAGACAACCATTTTTGCACGAGACACCTTTTTTAACTTTTATTAAAAAAAAAAAAACAGGTCTCAAGCCCGAACAGATTGAAGAAGCCTACATTGGCAATGTGATTCAAGCCAACCTGGGTCAAGCACCTGCACGTCAAGTTGTTCTTGAAGCAGGTGAGTGATACAAAAGGTTTGCGGAAAGATCCGTGTGTGATCCTGACTCAGCAAATTATATCTCCCCTTTCAAGGTTGCCCTGAATCCACGGAAGCTACTACGATCAACAAGGTCTGCTCTTCGGGCATGAAGTCTATCATCATGGCTGCCCAATCGATCAAGTTGGGTGATCGTCAGATCATGTTGGCGGGTGGTATGGAAAGCATGTCCAACGCTCCGTAAGTTTTTTTTTTTTTTTGTCAATTAATTTGTATTACATAATCTTCAAAAAAAAAAAAAAAGGGTTGTTGTTTGAGCCATCCTCGCTTTATTTTGTGGAGAAAATGAAACGGGAATTTTTTTTTTCATTCACACAACTTTGATATTCTCTTTAGCTATTATGCGCCTCGTAACGCTGCCTATGGTCATCAGCAACAGAACGATTCGATCGTCAAGGATGGTTTGTGGGACGTGTACAATCAGATTCACATGGGCAATTGCGCTGAAAACACCGCCAAGGTCCAAGGTATCTCGCGTGAAGAGCAGGATGCTCATGCCCTTGAATCGTACAAGCGTGCTGCCAAGGCCTGGGAGGTAAAAAATTGGATCAAGATGGGTTAGAGAGATCTTCAAGAAGATTCGGGGGTATACGTATACCCCCATCTTGGATGGCCGCGCGGTATTTTTCTAAAGTTTTGATACTAAGAGAGTGTGGCTCTTATTTTAGAACGGTGTCTTTGATGCAGAGATCGCCCCTGTCACGATCAAGAGCAGAAAGGGACAAGTTGTTGTCAAGGAGGATGAGGAGTACAAGAACGTAAAGTATGAAAAGATTCCTCAGTTGCGACCTGTCTTTCAAAAGGATGGTACTGTCACTGCTGCCAATGCTAGCACCTTGAACGATGGTGCTTCGGCTGTGGTCTTGATGACCCGTCAAAAGGCTGAAGAGCTTGGCGTCAAGCCCTTGGCCCGTATTGTCGGTATGTGATTATCAAACGATGGAGGGAGTTTGGATGGAGAAAGAGGAGGAGGGAGACCCAAGTAAGCGAGTTGGAATATGTGGTCTGTCTCACACACACACACACTCAATGCATGATAATAGCATATGCCGACGCTGCCATGGCACCGATCGATTTTACCATTGCCCCTAGCCAGGCTGTGCCACTTGCATTGGAAAAGGCTGGTTTAACAGTCAAGGACATTAGTCTGTTTGAGTTGAACGAGGCCTTCAGCGTCGTTGCCCGTGCCAATGAAAAGTTGATGGGCCTTGACCCTAGCAAGGTCAACATTGCCGGTGGTGCTGTTGCGTTGGGCCATCCTATCGGATCTTCGGGCGCTCGCATTGTCGTTACTTTGACCCATTTGCTCAAGTCGGGTGAATTCGGTGCTGCTGGTGTCTGCAACGGTGGTGGTGCTGCTAGTGCATTGATCATCCAAAAGGAGTAAAAAAGAGAAACACTCTCTATCTATCTATATAACACTTGTATTATATTCCAACGGCATGAAGCCAACAGCAACAACAAAAAAACATGTTTTTTATATGTATAAAGATAATAAAGATGATATAGAAAGAGAACACATGGAGAGAGGTAAGTTTTGCTGTTTTTTTTACTGTATGGAACAATTGCTTGCTTTAGCTGCACTACCCGTAGTAGCACTTGCACCACTGCTACGACGTCGCTGCTGGTGGAGCTTTTTGTATTGATAGTGTTTAGTGTGATCGTCAGCCAGGGCTTCTTCCCAGACCAGCCGGGATTTTAAGCCTTTCTTCATGTGGAAAGAAACATAATCATGAGCCTATGATAAGAGTTTTTCAAATTTTACTGTCAGCATTTTTGCAAAGTATAAATTACTGTATGGGTGACCGGCCCTCTACTGCTGCTGCTGCTGGTGGTGGTGCCGTTAATTGATAGCCAAGCAATAAGAAGTGTACGCATGACCCAACCTAATCAAGACCCCCTGAGACCGACGGATAGATGACTGGAGAGCAACCATGCAACTTGCAACAGCTCCGTCAAATATACCGGCTTTTAAAGGAAAATTATAAATTACCTTTAGCCATGCTTCACCGATGTGAGGCTCGTATTCGCTATCTAAGCGCCTTTGCAAAGCCTCGACGAGTGCCGGCCCGACGTGGTCAAACATGGATTCTTGAAAACCTTTATAATCTGCGTGGCGAGCACCCAGCTCCTGCAATCGCTCTGCCATCCACGCCTCTTCTTCTTTATTCAGTTCGTTCTCGTCTCCCTCGTCCACTCCTTGTTTCACATGGTGTTGATGACTGTCTGATAATAACGACGACGACGATGACGATGATGATGATGAAGAAGATGACGACGATGATGCTGGTGGTGGTGGTGGTGATGATATGGAGGAGTTCATGTCTTTGATGCTGGCAAAGTCTTTGTATCTCTCCGGCATGACGCTTGGCGCTCGTGCAATATATGACAAGATACCCGTCAAAACACGCGCTTGTTGTAATGTGTTTGTAAATATTGATTGGAGCTGCGGTTCGAGTACAAACAATGTTTTGTAGAACGCTTTGCCGAATGCATACGATGCTGATACGTTTGGATTATCCTTTTCCAGTCGTTTTTCTGTCACTCGTTCCCAGGTCCGCCGGATCAACCGAGTCTGGGCCTTTGTGGGTGGAGGTGGAGAAGGTGGTGCCATATCAAATGTGCTTGTGCTAAATAAGAAAGAAGGAAAGAGGTAATTATTATTACTTACAGTGATATTCTATCTCTTGAGTGTGGGGAGGGGTGAGGGGAGAGGGGAGAGGAAAGGCAGTGACAAAATACTCTCAGAAGCGATTCTCTTTTTATAGGCATGGCCGACGATGACAATGCGATGTGCGCGCCTTGAACCCCCTTTTTTTTGTACCCTCAAGGTGTTGTTGGTTGTAAAAAGTGGGTTCCCTTTTGAAACTTTGCACACACGCTAGCGCATATACTATCATGGTGTACTACTACTACTACTACTACTACTACTACTCAAGCTGCACTGTCGGTATGTCCTGACACTTTTTTATCGCAATGACTCCCTGGAACGCACAACACTACAACGCACGAAACATTAGCTTGTTACACGTGTAATGACAGACCGTCGTGCTGATTGATAACCATCCTTCCTTTTTTTTTTTTTAAACTGTTAGCCTTGAAAAAGTATCGGCTTCGTATAATGACAATCCTAGTTTAGGAGCTCCCGGAAACAGATTTCCGAAGCCCTTTGGTGGGTGTAACATAAGAGCAACAATACAACACGCATACTCACTTGTGCATCCAAAAGCAAGCTCTACTCCAAGATGAAAAGAATCACATGGGTAGGAGAGAGAGAGAGCACATCATTATTTTGAATGATGCGATCTGCCTTGCTTGGGGAGTCTTGTTTACCCCGTGCTTTTCACTTCTTTGATATTATACGACGCCGATCACCATGTCCTTTTTTTTTTCTCCATCGATACAATAGAAAACGTCATAGAGAGGAGTACTGTAGAAGAAGGCCATTGATCTCCGGACGTATAGGATTTTCTCTTTGTTATGTACATCTACACCTTGGTCCTTCCTCCCCTTTATACTACTCTATGTATTAGTACATACTGGTATGTATGGATGATACTACTACAATTTATTTTTTATATTTTTATGTGCTGCGCTGACTTTTACAAATGGAAAGATTCGTTTTCAAGTCGATGGTCAAGGGGACAGCAGCATATAGCTCATCAACCACAGGTTGGAAGTTGTATATATGATGATAATGCTATGTACTACCGATAACGCATCATGTGTAGAGTAATGGGGTGGTCTTCCTCTAAGTGACGCATATGTCATGAATTTGTACGGTACATTGTTTTTAATGGGTATGACAGATAAGTAAAGGGATATATAGTAAAGGCTTTATATATAAAAAAGATAATAAGTATGATATAGAAGAGTGTATAGATATCAGGAATAGATATGAGTGAGTCACTCCACTAATAATTGTGAGAGAGAGAGGGATAGAGATATACAAATAGTGACAAGTAGAGGTATATGTGTGTCAAAGTTTTAAATTACAAATTCTGTTGCTGTTGTTTAGCTAGTTACTAGTATAAGTTATTGTTTGTGCGCATAGGTGAATGTAGGCAAACGATTAGATAATAGAAATGGTTGGGATGTAGGTGGGTTAGCAGGGTCAGATATCCTCTCTTATTAGCTGTCTTCCAAAAGAATCATGCCATCCACCAGCTCGTTGTTGTTCTTTTTCCGCTCTTCTTGCTGCTGTTGATCAAACTCTCGCCAGCTCGCACTGTCGAGTACGACCTGCTCTTGTTGTGATGTAGAGTACATGTGTTCTTGCCACGTCGATGATCCTTCATACATATCGCCTGCCACTGCTGCCACTTTGGCCAACAACACACGAATGAACCGGGTATACCATACCGATGCCAATGGAAACGCTTCGACAAGTCCTGCAAACATATAGAAAACCACCCCTCAAAACAGTGTCAATAGAAAATGATGACGGGGATAGCGTTTCCCCTCCCCCCCCCTCCCACTCGGTCTAGCAACTAGAGCCTCTCCCTCTTTTGAATTTCCATTCCGCACTTGTTTTTTGTCTGATGAGCAAGTAGTTACTGTACCTTCCAAGGTCCAGCTGTCTTGCTGTTTACAAATCTTGATCAACCCTTCCTGTTCTTTAAAGTACAGCGTGGTAATGGCCGGAATACGCAATGTGTAACGTGTCGTTGGTAACACGGCGGGACAAATGTTTTGTACATAGTGAATGACGGCCGTGCGACTTTACAAGATTCGGGAGACACAACAAGTTGTTAGCGGTTTTTTCTTTTATAAAGGGATCCCCGCCCCTGGTTTGCTACTCATGAAACAGTGCATCTACTATTATATCTCCCGTCTTTTATTTTTCTCTTCTCTGATCCCACTAAACCGCCTAACCATCCACCCCGATCCGCAAAAAAAAAAAAAGTGTATATTTTACCCATCAAAGACAATGTTGTTGATTGTGGGTTCTATCTGATTGATATTTGACCATACACCGTATATGCTAAGAGAAGAAGAATTTCCATCTAGAGATCAGTGATCCGGTACTGCATCATGCACGTACACGCATTGAAAGTGAGAGAGATAGATGGATAGTATTCTGTCACACACACACACACACACAAAAGACATACTTTGTGATTTCTTGCACTCCTCGAGCGGCCATGAACGGGGTGACCATGATGGCGTCCTTGACGAAATAAAATTCGAGAATACGTTTTCTTTTGACAGTATCGTAGCAAAAAAGATCCTGCACAATATCTGTTGTTGTTTTTTTGGTTTAGAGTTCCGTCAGTTTAAAAAGTCTCCTGCAATTTTCTCTTGAAATGACAAAGGGTGGGGGACAGGGGAAAGGATTAACAAGAAGTTTAAAGTTTTTTTACTTTTAATGAGAACATCAGAAGATGCTGAAGCGTCATCTTGCGTGTCATTGTCAGAACTTGTGTCTGACATTTTAAAAAGATTGGCAAGCGGTGAAAGAGAAAACACCATTTAAAAAGAGAGAGAGAGAGAGAGAGAGAGAAAAGAAAGGAAATATAAATATGAGAATGCAGTGTGTACACAAACACAAACACAAAAGGAACAAAAAGGTGTTCTCGGCCTCACCGATGGAATAGAGTGGCGGAGGAGGGAAGGTAAGTAAGTAGTAGTAGTTAGCGGGGCGGGCATGCCATATTTTAGTAAAGGCGTGATAGCTGGAACTGATTGAAACCCCAAGACATCATTGCGTTACCTACCATCGTATCACTTTTCATAAATGTGCAACCATCAAAATGAGAAAAAAAAAGATATATAATTTATCAACGAGAGATGTGAATGTGTAAATGTGTAAATGTGTGTGTGTGTGTGTGTGTGTGTGTGGGAGAGTGAGAGTTACAAAAGAGTAGCTTTTTACATTAAGAACCGACAAGTAGGGTACTTTACTACAAACAAACAAGCAAAGCAATAAATTATAATAGTGAGTGACGACTTTTTGTGGAGGAGGAACAACAACAGCTATGACTTGATGCAACTGCCAGGGGTGGGTGCAGCAGCAGCAGCAGCAGCACGGTTGTGCGCCATGTGTGCCTTTACAAGATGGCCAGCAGCCAATGCCGCACACAGCGACAATTCTCCGGCCATGACAGAGGCACAAATGATACGTGCCAACCGTCGAGCATTGTCACCCGGCAACGTCGGATGCGGTCCTCGTACTCCGAGCATGTCCAACACAGCTTGCTGGGGTGGCAACGTGGTACCGCCGCCGACCGTACCGACCTCAATACTGGGCATCGTGCAAGAAATGTGCAAGTCCTGACCCTGGTTGACTGCGGTCATCAAGGTCATACAGTTTGAACTCTCGACGTTCTGTGCAGGATCTTGACCCGCAGCCAGATAGATGGCCGTCAAGATGTTGGCTGCATGCGCATTGAACCCTCCCACAGAGCCGGCCATGGCGGATCCAATCAAGTTCTTGTTGATGTTGAGTTCGACCAGGGCTGCTACGCTGGTCTTGAGCACTTTTTCGACGACAGCGCCTGGGATCACGGCTTCCGAGACGACGCTCTTGCCACGGCCTTCGATCCAGTTGATCGCTGCAGGCTTCTTGTCCGTGCAGTAGTTGCCGGACAGTGAAATGATCTGCATGTCTGGGAAATGCTCGCCCAGGAGACCCAGGGCCTTTTCACAGCCCTTGGAGATCATGTTCATGCCCATCGCGTCCCCTGTGGTCGTCGAGAAACGGACAAACACAAGTCGGCCGGCAAGCGCTACCTTGAGTTTGCGCAGACGGGCGAACCGCGAGGTCGAGTTGAACGCTTCGGTGATGATTGCGTTGCCTTCTTGTTCGATCCAGCGCTTGCATTCGCCTGCACGGATGATGTTCGGGAAGCTCAGACATGGACCCCGGGTCATTGCATCTGCCGTCACAATGGTTGTTGCTCCACCGCCCGCGTTGATGGCCTTGCAGCCGCGTGCAGTCGACGCAACCAAGCAACCTTCAGTGGTAGCCATGGGAATGTGCGTGTTAATACCGTCAATGTTCATTGGACCTATTCCGTAAAAAAAAAATCCTTGTGTTACTACCCAAAATGGACGACATAGCGCACGAGAGAGAGAAAGAGATCTTTTTTTTTTTTTTACCTGCAATGCCAAGTGGGATAGGCATGTAGCCAATAACGTTTTCACAACAGGCGCCCAGCACCTTGTCATAATGGTAGTTTTCTAGTGGCAGTAGACTGTGTTCTAAGGTTTGGGTATACGATGCCCGCGAAATCAAGGCACGGCGAACAGACACAGCCCGCTCGAGGTCGCCTAGGACTTTTTCAAGTGCATAGGGAGCCATTTTGCCGGCTTGTACCAAAGAGATGACTTCCTCATCGTTGAGGGCTTCAGGCGTCTTGACCAGGGTCAGACATTCCTCTACAGGTCGAACGGTATCGGATAATGCAGGGGTTGGGAGCTTTTTGGTGACGCTAGGCGGACAAGTAGCTGTAGTGGTGGTGACGGGTTGAGACGAAGACGAGGAGACCGATGTGTACTTTGGGTCGGCAGTTTGCTTGTTGGACTGCTTAGCAACGTTGAAAAGATAAGTGTTGAGGAACAACGAGACGACAAGGCCGATAGTGAGCCATTGGCTGATGACTGGGTGCTGGATAAAAACGGCGTAAATCTCAGACAACGCCTCCAGAGGTCGCGTGATCGACTCGGGCATCAAGCTTTTGTTGGGCGACCGCACATGGAACAGCAACGGAGGAAAGACCTCGACGATCAACGGCAGATGGCTACCGGATTCCTTGTGCTGTTGCAAAATGGCATTGAGCACATGCGCTACGCTAGGCTGGGTAACGTCCACCTGGGGTCCCGATTGGAATGCGGTGCAAAATTCAAAAATATGCACGGCTACGAATGCCACAATCTAGAATAAGCGGCAGTAATCGGGTCATGTGTGTTGGGTTAGAAAAAAGAAAAACCTGTCATTTCTATCATTTGTTTGTTTTTGTTTGTGTGTGTCAGAACTTACCATAAGCAGCTTAAGGCGACCGACAAACGGGGCATCCGACTTTTGGATGTCACGAGGAGACGCGTTTTGGTCATCGCTCAATGCTTTAACGACAGTACGACGGATGAAGCTCATGTTGGATGGCTTGGTCTGCTTCTTGTTGTTGTTGTTGCTGGACGAAGAAGCCGAGCCGCTGATCTCCCGAATACGGGTGAGCTAATAAGCATTTAATTAGATAAATTCAATCACCGCATGCATCTTTAAAAACTACTGATACTATGAAGATTACCAACCTCGAGCTTGAGTGCAAGAACGGACGTGTACCATGTAAACAAAAACACAGCATCGTAGGCAAGGAGAATGGCGGACAGGAAGCAGAACTCACGAAGGCCAGCAATCGCGGATTTCGCACCCAGTGTGAGCACCATGATTTCAATCACACAATCACGCGCAATGGGCAATGCGACGGAGTCTACTGCACGGATGATGGTTTCACGGACGTCTTGGCGCGTCAACGGCGCTTCTTTACTGTACTCGAGCACTCGCTTGGTGAGTTTGTAGGGCCGCTCAAAGCCAATCGTGACAACCAAGAAAGGAATAGCTTCACTGCGCAAAAGGGTGATATGGTTTAGCGTGTATGTATTGCATTTGTTTGTTTGTTTGTTTGTTTGTTGCCATGTTACACTGAAGAAGAAACTTACGCCAGGACGACTGGAGACGGTTGTACACCCAAAGCATGAACTGTCAGAAGCGCAAGAATGAACGAAAACAAGCCATTGACCGAAACCGCAGTTGCTATTTACCCTACATGTGTGAGTGACACTTTCCATCATCATCATCAAGGGTATGCTAGTAGTAGAAGAACCATACCAAGCGTGTACCGTGAGCCCATACGTCGCATATTGACGAACAGTGAGACAAATGTGATAATCATCATGACGTATCCTGCAAGAATCACCATGATATCTACGTTATCCGCCATCTAGTGGTTCATAGTAAAGCTAAATTAGTGTCTCTCTCTCTCTCTCTCTCTCTCTCTCAATCTGAGTAGAATAGCGCAAAAGATGGCTGTGGATAGCTATTTACTCACATCGATAAGCTCTTTTAAGCGAAACACAACGTTGCGGCTGATGATCAATAACCAAGCAAACAAATTCTCGCCCTCGTTACGATCCGCGTGTGATACGATATCGGCAGCTGGCGGCAGGTTCTCGACCTTGTGGGTCCACTGCCGTGCGAGTTCCCGACGAATCGATCCGGTCGCATTCACCGCGTACGACAAGGTGACCGACGCCGCGTCAATGAGAGCAGCATGGTTAGCAGCGGTGGAGGCGATATCCTCATCCGCACTCAGAACGGTTTCGTTGTTTTCCCACAATGCCAGCGGCGACTGGACAAAGCAGGCACCATTACCAAGCTTGTAACACAGACCGTTGCGATACGAAAACTTGGCAGTAATAGCCGTAGACTCTTCAGGCACATGGACATTGTTCTCGACTGTCTGCTGGAACCGGAGGATGGTGGCCAAGGTATTCAAGTTTAGCACGCCGCGCTCCGCATCGGACACTGTAATTTGTTTCAGATGGATCTTGAGCGCGTTCTTTGCTGCTGCTGCTGCTGCTGCTGCTGCTGTGGGTAAGGAGGGTGATTCTTGCTGTTGGTGTTCGTCGTTGACGAGTGTGAATGTGTAGTCGGAGGCGCTGTGGATGGTGGGTGCTGGAGCATAGACTGTTGTTGGGTATAGACGCGTACTGGTCCCGGAAAAGATATCAGAGGTGCGGGCGACGTTGTACAGGGTAAAGTAGCCAAAGGATGCCAATAAAAGCACCGCAACGACCATTTCGATGGGGTTGCGAATGGAGACCATGGCTGCATGGTGAATGCCCTTTCCAATCAAGGCAGACATTGACTTGAATGCCGTGCTGTTGATTGCTTGTTGACGTGGCATGGAGACTGTTTTCGAGATTAGGGCGACCGGGGGGGGTGGGTGCCGTTCGTTTTTCGATTCTTTTTCTTTTGTGAGATGTGTTTAAAAACTTTAGGAAAAAGTGGTTAGGGTTGTTGCTGCTGCTATTGTTGTTGTTCTTGCTGTTCTGTCTGGGTGCTGCTGTGTTGAACAACGGTCTGTCTCGGGCAGTTGGGGGAGAAAGGAAATAAGCCCTTGTAAAAAGAAAAAACTATATTTTGGGGGGGGGGAAGAAGTGATTGTTTGATAGATAAGAAGAAGGAAAAAAAAAAAAAGACAATAGGTTTAGTTATATGCACTTTATATACAAGCTATCCAGAGCGATCACACAAGAATAAATTCGTTGTCCTGCGTACATGCAAGTAACTCGTTAGCGTGCAACTGTCTTTTTGGGTAAAGGAGCGAAGGCAACAGAAGAGAGAAGAGAGAGAGAGAGGGTGTTTCAGGGAGAAGCTGGAAGCGCACAAAGAAATTATACGTCCTTCGTACCCCCGAACAACTCCGAGTGAAAATCTAAAAAAAGCTAACATGCCCCACCCCCGCCCTCCGATAAGGCATGTCGTGAAAACCGAAAACAACTTCTTCTATGAATGGTTGTCTATTGCATTTGCAAAGAGAGCACTTGTTCTTGCAGTGTGGTGCCTTGCAGCAGCAAACAGTGTCTTAAGCTATCTGATGCATTGTTGTAGTACAATGAGAGACCACCCCAATGCATCCATCCTGTGTGCTACGGGCTGATTCTTATTACAGGGCTTGTAAAAAGAACCTTGTTTTATTGTGCAGCTCTTCTTTGTTCCTGTTATATTATTCTGTTGAGGGGGAGGGGTGGGGGGAGAGGAAGTAATAAACGCGTCAAGTGAATATGACATTTGCACCTTGAGTCAAGTTGATCTTGATGTTCTCTCGCGATAGATACTCGGTGGGGAATGTCACCAGGTGGCCGCGAATCTTGTTTAGCTCCGTTTGGATGTACTCCTCGGACATTCCTTGCGGGTTGGCGACATGGCCTGCTGATACCTGTGCAGGATCGGGAACGAACCGCCGGTGTGCATCGAATGTGGTTACTATATAATACAAAAAAAGTCATCATCGGTTCATGAAGGAAGGAGAGAGAGAGAGAGAGTGAGAGACGGGGGGTTGGATTATGTGGCATGTATGCATATGCATGGTATTTGGAGGGAAGGGAGGTAGAGCAAAAGAAGAAAAACAAGACGATCCCCACAAAGTTTATAAAGTGATCATCCCATCCAATTCCTTACCGGTATCGTCAGGCACGCATTTAAATAGAGTACGGTATATCTCGGTATTATCTTTGGCGGTTTTGGTCCATACTCCATAATAAAACTCGTCGTGTAATGGATCCATCACTATAGCGTCCTGGCGTTCTTTATCCTCGCCCGAATTCAGAAGCCCCAGATGCTCCTTAAAGAGCTGCATCCTTAACGTCAACGCAAATCTTGACGCTTTATACTACTTGCATATAGAAAAAAGATTTCGTTTAGGGAGGGATCCTTTTCTATCTCTATCAAGTGCCAGTAGTGGAAGCTTCTCCTCCCCCCCCCCTAAGGATTGCATCACTTACCGGTAATCCGTTCATACGGGAATCTACGAGGTCCGTGTCTTCTATCACCGTGGCAATTTCGGAATCCCGACTGCCTAGTTGAGATCTTTACCAATGGTTTGTACATATATCAAAATGAAAGTTGAGCGTGTTTGTAATACAGTAGTACATTAAAGTAGTATAATGCTACTGTAGCAGTAGTATGCAGTACCTATCATTTATATTGGCTAGAAATCACCACAGTTTCGAGAAATAAAAAAAGGGTTTAGTTTAGATGATTGCGTAGAATAACAAGTGTTACTATGGTCTCATTTTACCTGAACCGCAAATGACCGTCTTATCGTCGACGATCATCAACTTTGAATGGATGTACACCTGTTCTGTGACATAATCCATGCGAGCATCATTAAACTCCTGTATCCGAGGCCGACGAAGCGAGGAAGATGATGCTAATTCCTCGGTCGCTATGCCACTGTTGCTAGTGTTTTTCGTTGCCATGGCTGCGAGCGGTCGACCCTTTTTCCGCTTATTACTCATTTTACGTCTTATGATGCCACCAACACCACCACCACCACCGCCGTTATTGCTTGCACCACTACTACTGCGACCCACAACACTGTTGTTTTCCAATCTGCCAACGTTCGTCGTACTAGAGTCTACAATGGGGGTGCTCTCTTCCTTGATTCCGCTCGATAGGGGCGTTGCTGTCGTTGTCTTGATCCGACCCCAATTCCGCAAACTGCAAAACCCAATGTATTCTTCTGCAGGAATGTTGGCTTGTCGTAACTTTTCAAGGACCGAGTTGCCACCACGTGAGATGGACTGGTATTGATAATGTGCGACGTTTCTTTTTGGCATGTAGTAAATATTTGCGTTTGTATGCGTTTAGAAAAGGTGATGCCGATCACGGTAGTATGTTGTAGTCGTTGGCTTTACAGGGTTTGAAGTCTCTCTCTCTCTCTCTGGTTTTTTTTTTTTTTTACTTTTTTTACCTTAGTGCCATGGATCGTTTGTCAGCAACTGTGAAATCGCCTTCGAATCCGGGGGCAGCAGGGATAACAATAATCACTCGAAATTTCTCTTTTTCTGTATGTGCGCGTGTGATCCGTTTTACAATCGCCTATATAATACAATCATTCCGAAATGAGCCACTGTTAGTTTTTTCATTAGTGCGCTAAATACAAAAGGAGAGAAAGTGTTGTTCTTAGAACTAGACGGGTTTGACGAAGGGGAAGGGGGGTGTGTGTGTGGGGTGGGTTGTTTATGCCGCGAAGCGGATTGGATGGGATGGACCAACTTGGTCCTTTCTGTTGGCTCACGCCAGAATATCTTGGCTTTATAAAAACTAACCTCACCAATATTGTTTTCTATAAGCTTGTCCTTTGACACCGTGGTAGTTACTAGCGAAATCATTTGAGTGAGTTACATAGCAAAGTGTTTTGAAATAATTACAAGCTACTTGTAGTGATTAATGGTGGGGATAACAGCAGCATGCATGCAGTGTAAAATAAACTTTTTGTTTTCAATGTTGATAATGCCGACTTACTGAAGAATTGGTTTTCTATGTAAATGAAATGTTTTGCTTTTTGTATGCATTCCATGTACGCTTTGTATATGGAGTACTGGATTGTTGTTGTTGTTATTGTTGTCGAATGCAAGATTGAAAATATTTTGAACGTCGAGGATGACCAGATTATAAAAATTGATAAAACCAAAGTGAACATTTGAGCCTTTCTTCTATGATAGTAGAGTAAAGGAAATAGTTTGGGGGCTTACTTCACGACTAATTCCAGAGCTCCAATTTGCAATGCTTCGAACCACTTGGACTTTACATGTGCCCCGAAACTTGCTTTCGTCACTTGATGCGATATGTTCTCCTTTGGGTAGTAGGTACGGTATGTCATCCCGGTCCTTATGCGATTCCGTCTTTATAAAGTTCCATCTTTCGATGAAATGTCGCGCAACGTCTCGTGCAGGTCGTCCAACCTATATTGAGTTATTGTTTGAATCAAGATTTTCCACCATGTACGTAGTGTGTTTTATGTGTTTTATGTGTGTGTAAAAGTAAGTAAATAAGTGCGTACATGAGGCATGTATATGTATGTGTGGTATGTGATAAGCATCATTAAAGAAAGATGATTCATTGATTACCATGCCAGTATGGATATCATGCCAAGGCATTCGCGCGATCCTTCGTTTATCCACCGTTTCGAGCGCATATTTGCGAACTACAAACCAAAAATCCCAAAGTTAATAGCAAAACACACAAGAAAGAAACAGAAATTGACACTGCCTTCTTTCCTTATATATATGCGTACCATTTACAAAGTCTTGGATCCTCGGGTTGGAATAATCTTGGCCTGGAAATATCTCAGGAAACATTTCACCATCAGCGGCATAGTCAGTCAAGTCATGGTCAGATGTGTCATAGCGTCTAAAGAAAAAACAACTTTGAACTTGTTTTCTTTGTCTCTTTGCTGCATATATTCAAGGGGACGGTCAAGAATGAGATATTTACCCAAAGCATAAGTCCAATCCCCCAACAAATGCAAGACGATGATCAATCACTAGGATTTTCTAACACAACAACAACAGAAACAACCTTTAAAAAGCTGAGATGCTATAATCCTCAGTTGACAATCTTAGAATAGCTTACTTCATGATGTGCCCAGAATGGTGCTTCAGTGATATTTGAATGGCGCTGCACTAATAAGCATAATCCAAGCTGATTACATAAAGTTTCTTACATGGCTTATTCAACAGCAACCGTATTTTACTTACCAATAATATTCGGATGTGCATCTTGAAGCCAATGTTTGGTATGGCCAGAGTTTAACGGTAGTGCCACCTTCATGCTTTTGTAAATGACAATATATATTTTAACATCATCTAATGAAGCTTTTCGCTTGAGCAAACGGTCGATACGGTAATCCTCATTGCCTTTAGGCGGTCTCCGTAAATACTACTTGCAAACACATGCAATTATCAGTATATACAGGCATGTTACACTTTTGAAAAAAAAACATGGATAAATTTGTTCTTACCAGTTGAGGACTCTATATTGCATACGTAATCATGAAGCTCCATATTAATAAAACGTCATGAAAAGTATCCCTTTTGTACTATAATAATAATAGACTTACCAGCCACCAATCTTCAATAAAAATATCTGACTTTGCTGATAATATAGCCTCGGCCACTGCCTCAAAATATTCTGTACAGATTGAAAAGGGGCAAAGTGTGCAATGTATGAGAGGGAGCAGAAAAAACAACACCAACAGCCTTACAATAAGTGACCCGAAACTTACCGTGTCCATCCACGAACCATTTTACTTTGGCATTTTCGCGAATAGGAGCAAACGAATTGAACCGTTGCTGGGATACCCACGGACTCTTCAGCTTCACCGTGTTCAGGTTGTCTAGCCATTCATCCACGCCTTTCTGTACTCTTATCTGTATACTTTTCGAGCCTTTGGCCAATGTGATGACCGAATGGGACGAAAACTGTTTTCGTTCAGACGTGTGGTACTTGAATTCCTTGTCGAGCAGCATAACATCTGTCGGCGTTGTGGATGATGTATCCTTGCAAAAAGCAATGTAACTACAGAGATCAAGATAACGCATAGAGTGGAGCGGTGAGTTTCTTTCCTTTCTCTCTCTCTCTCTCTCTCTCTTTCGGCATATTTAAAGAATTTCAAAAGAAAACACTTTACGAATCGCGCAGGATAAACCACTTCTTCACCCATCCATAGCGTCGTATGGGACGTAAAACAGGCGCCGACCGGGTCACGACCTTTTGCTCCAAGTATCCTTCCTTGCCTTTCCATCCCATATCCTTGACAATGCTTATCCCACTCACTTCCAAGAACTCGCACAGATCAGTCAATCCAGTCAAATCTTCCACTTTTTGCGATTTCTCAACCAGTTCTTGCAGATATTGTGCCAATTCCAATCGTCGCTTTTCATTACGCGTATCCAAAGATGTCAGTTCCGAGTGGATCATGATGGAGTTTTGCTCGTGGGCAGATCGAAGGGACGCGATGGCGTGTGCAAAGTTTTGGACTTTGCTAGGGAACGAAGGAGGCGATTCAATGGTGGATCTGAACTTGAGTGTCACCCACAAATCGTAGAAATCGACCACATTGCGCTTGACCGTCCATTTGATCTCGCCATATTGAAGGTCGATAAGATAGAACGTGTTGCTTTCGTCTACATCTCGGATGGACACCTGGATAGAGTTAGCGTCTCACAAATCCATCATTGTGTTCATGAGCTACACAGTGATGTGGCACCGTCTGTGGCGCTTTCTGTGATACGTTGTTTCTAATCCAACAACTTACTGTCAAAGGTCCAAACAAGTCTCGCGGCTACATAGTGCATAATGCAAAAGGAGGGGGAGGGGGGGGGGAGAACCCCCGTTTTTAGTTTCAAAAGTTCGTTTGAACGAGATAAATATGCTTTCATGCTTTACCGTTGATATAGGACGTCCATTGACTGGCACTAGTGCCGTTGACACCTTTGTGGCACCTACTGACAGTCAATTGAGAGACTATGTATACACTACTCTCTCCTCTATGTATATACACACCTTGCTGATCCCATGGAGCAACAGCTGTTTCAAACGGATGCTCAAAATAATTGCTTTTACTCTCTGCCAGATGAGCGGCGCGTGCTCCTTCCTTGGCGACTTCATCCATAGATGGTAAATTATCACCCTCACCGAGCATCCCAGGCGGTCGCTTGTGTGTCCACATCGGTAGTGTTTCAAGATTAAAAAATCCGTCAAACGAGGCAGGGGAGATTTGAACCTCCTCCTGCGCCGCCTCACGCATAACAACGTCTTCTTCGTCCTCGTCAATGTCATAATAGCCGCCCTTACTGTTGTACTTGTCCTCAGCTCTTTGTATGCCAACTGACATGCGTCTGACAATGGAATGCCAACGCGATCCTTCCACCTGTGCAACGTGTTGTTGTTGTTGTTGCTGCTGCTGCTGCTGCTGGTGTTGCTCCTGAATCTGCTGATTGCGAAAAAGGAGTTGCTGTTCTTGTTGTTTGCGCAGTATGTTGTGATACTGGTGGTAATCGTGGTGTTTCCGTGGTTGACTGCTGTGATGGTGATGAAGGTGGTGAAACTGGCGATGTTGGTGATTGCTATGGTGGTGGTGGTGCTGCTGCTGGTGAGGGGCGCCACCGTTGACGAATCGATTTGTTACTGAGCTTTTTCCGTTACTGCTTGCACCGCCACCGCCGCCTTGTATGAAATACTCCACGCCTGCCGCAATGGGGTTTGACATTATTGCAAAACGACGAAAATACCTTCAAAGACGAAAATACGTTAAAAAAAAAGACAGCTTTAATAAAAAAAAAAGAGAACAGCAGAAATAGAAACGATTGTTTTTCTTACTTGAAACTTTGTGCTTGACTCACATGTCCATATATAGCGTATATTCGTTGTTATTGTTTTGGTTGTTGCTGTTGTGCGGTGACGGAAATGTAGATCGCGTGCCACAAGATTGTAAGCATCGTGGGCATTACTCACTCACTGAGCAACAATCACACACCACCGCGTCACTCCCTACTATTTTTGTGGATCTGGCCACAAGACACATGATGGTCATCACCATCTGACGATATACTGTATGTATCTCGGTTGCCAAGACCAAATGCAGTGTGTATTCTTCTATACCGTTTTCAGGCCACGATGGATACATGAAGTTCTCGGCCGTGAAACCCATAGTTAGCGCATTTTTGAGTATATAGCCTATCAAATGAAGCTTCCCGGTTTTAGCGATCCCATACTCCTGTTTGTCTTTGACAAAGCTGGATCAAGAATGAACTTTCACAAATTGCTTCTTGCTTCGGGTTACCCCGTTTAAATATTGCATGTTTATCATACATGATGAATCGGTAATTATATTAGTTTATACTATACGGAAAACATAGGCGAATCAGAACAGCACCGATACACCATTACATTCGTTGATAAAATTGAACAAGTAGAACCACAGCCTTGCGGCTCCAAAAAAAAGCAACAACATAATTGTCCTTTCTAATCCTTTGTTAATTTTTCTTTACACACTATTCTTTTTCATCGGTAAGAAACGTAGACATAGTAGAATGTATATGTATTCCGCGTTTGTTTAGAGCATCAAGATGGAAGAACTTCGAAGCGCTCCGAATATACTGAGCCTGATCTTTTATTAACTGATTCTGCAAATGCCTATACTACGCAATGCGATCAATATTGCACATCATCCAACACCGTTTTCTATCACAATGGTGGGGAGCAAACGATATCAACAAACATAGAACCAACAGATTTTGCTTATAGGTTCACATATTTAATGATTTTATGTACCCCATCTCGCCAGTATTTGTCATCCTGCTCCTCCTCCTCTTTTCTCACGCCAACCCATGTTAAACTTGTTAATGAAAATATTCCAAAGATATATCTAGATGCCATAAATGTGGGGTCCCTCGGATATCATCATATAAATGAAAGATAGAGAAGATAGATTAGCGCTCTTTGATTCACAACGTATCAAGAGAAATTGCGCTGTGTAGCAGCAACAAAGGAGTTTCGCAGTCAACAAGCAGAGGCTAGGAGTTCTTACCCAGATAGAGATCCTTAAGAGAAGAATGAGAGAAAGTTGGTGTCATAAAGAAAACGCAGCCTACAGGTAGAGGCTAGCAGGGCGTTACGTACTAGCATGCCTTGTAGCCCACTGGACAATACCCAGACAGAGGTCCTTTAGAAAAGAATGAGAGAAAGATGGTGTCATAAAGAAAACGCAGCCTACAAGTAGGCTAGCAGGGCGTTACGTACTAGCATGCCTTGTAGCCCACTGGACAATACCCAGACAGAGGTCCTTTAGAAAAGAATGAGAGAAAGATGGTGTCATAAAGAAAACGCAGCCTACAAGTAGGCTAGCAGGGCGTTACGTACTAGCATGCCTTGTAGCCCACTGGACAATACCCAGACAGAGGTCCTTTAGAAAAGAATGAGAGAAAGATGGTGTCATAAAGAAAACGCAGCCTACAAGTAGAGGCTAGCAGGGCGTTACGTACTAGCATGCCTTGTAGCTCACTGGACAATACCCAGACAGAGAAAGATGGTGTCATAAAGAAAACGCAGCCTACAAGTAGGCTAGCAGGGCGTTACGTACTAGCATGCCTTGTAGCCACTGGACAATACCCAAACAGAGGTCCTTTAGAAAAGAATGAGAGAAAGATGGTGTCATAAAGAAAACGCAGCCTACAAGTAGAGGCTAGCAGGGCGTTACGTACTAGCATGCCTTGTAGCCCACTGGACAATACCCAGACAGAGAAAGATGGTGTCATAAAGAAAACGCAGCCTACAAGTAGGCTAGCAGGGCGTTACGTACTAGCATGCCTTGTAGCCCACTGGACAATACCCAGACAGAGGTCCTTTAGAAAAGAATGAGAGAAAGATGGTGTCATAAAGAAAACGCAGCCTACAAGTAGGCTAGCAGGGCGTTACGTACTAGCATGCCTTGTAGCCCACTGGACAATACCCAGACAGAGGTCCTTTAGAAAAGAATGAGAGAAAGATGGTGTCATAAAGAAAACGCAGCCTACAAGTAGGCTAGCAGGGCGTTACGTACTAGCATGCCTTGTAGCCCACTGGACAATATCCAGACAGAGGTCCTTTAGAAAAGAATGAGAGAAAGATGGTGTCATAAAGAAAACGCAGCCTACAAGTAGAGGCTAGCAGGGCGTTACGTACTAGCATGCCTTGTAGCTCACTGGACAATACCCAGACAGAGGTCCTTTAGAAAAGAATGAGAGAAAGATGGTGTCACAAAGAAAACGCAGTCTACAAGTAGAGGCTAGCAGGGCGTTACGTACTAGCATGCCTTGTAGCCCACTGGACAATACCCAGACAGAGAAAGATGGTGTCATAAAGAAAACGCAGCCTACAAGTAGGCTAGCAGGGCGTTACGTACTAGCATGCCTTGTAGCCCACTTGGACATTGCCCAGGCAGAGGTCCTTTAGAGAAGAATGAGAGAAAGATGGTGTCATACATAAATGCGTTTATGTCAGTAAAAAAGTTTTTTTTTTCGCATCCTGTCTTTATAAATATAACTTGTTACCGTTCTGACGCCGAGTTTCTTTACGATACGTCCAAATGAATGTGCCAAAAATGTCTTGTTTATCTTTAACCTTGGTGAATTTTCAACGACAAACGCAATTACAAGGGAAGACTAACAGGGAGTGACGTACTAGCGAGCTTTGTAGTCCACTTGGACATTACCGACAATGCTAACGTAGCAGAGGTCTTTTTGGAGACCTAATAAAAAGATGAATGAAATGAAAAAATGAATCGAGAATTTTATATAGCTCACCTGTTTGAAGATCTAAGTTCATACCGTATAATGGTTGGCGGAGGGGTTACATACACTGTATCAGCATCGAGTGGTATTTTTAAATTAAGCCACAACTAAAAACTTTTATCACAATAAGCACGAACCACGCGGTCATAGCGTTTCTTGCCCCGTGCTAGTTTACCACCTTCTTTTGCCTGCACGCATTTGCCATGACAGCTACACACGATCCACATTATGAAGAAGGTACACTAAAAACATAGCTGCGAAATAATGCGAGACCATTTAAGTGACTTGGAAGGTTTCTCAGTTTTAAGAAAGTACCTGGAAGACAGCACAAATACGCCCAACTTGAAAGATTTCGCTGAAAGAAATGAAGAGTGGTTACTAAATAATACCAACGCGGCCGACTTCAGAAGGGTGTGGATAAAAGCGTTTAAAGAAGCGGCAAAAAGACTAAAAATGAAGGTAACTTGACAGACTTGGAAGCCTTCGCTCGAAAAGATCTATTAACTTCATGATAGATATCAAAAGAAGAGCCTGACTGGCTCGATCTCACGGTCAAAAAGCTCAAGGTACGGCTCTACAAATTCAGTGCGCTTCTTGGAGATATTTGCTTACTTTGCACTTTTGTAATCTGTGAACCAGAAACTATCCGAAGTATCCCAAGGCAGTCCCACTTCGACGTCTCCCCGCCAAACTTCTGTAAGTCTTTTTCATTAGCATCAAAGCATGTCATAGGTTACCACACGGCCCTTATCATTAACTATCATTATGTAGACCTTAACTCAAAGTAGCAAGGCTACCTCAGCCCCACTCATGCCGGACCAGGTCCGAGCTTTCAAGGAGAAGTTTGACGCGATGGAAAACGGCAGCAAGTGGAAGATTGGAGACTCGTATGTCGAAGACAAGATGTTCCAGTTTGGTCTAACTTGCACTCACGAGCAGTAAGTTGTCGAATTCCTTTGCAACACTCGCGGCTCCATGACGGTTTCCCCTCTACTTACGAGTTCTTTTATCGCTTTGTGTAGTGCCTGCCATTCGTTTGTGCTTGATGCTGAAGACGAGGTATGGGAAAAGGTCTTTACGAAGGATGAGCTCAAGGTGATCAAGGAGCATCGACTGCAACAACTCCCCCGATTGAAAGAAGAGGTGCAAGATTTCTTCCGGCTTTTCAAGGGAAAGGTAAAGTCTGATCAAAATAGATGTAAACAGTCTTATTACTTGACATTTGATACTAAAAAGCGGTCCTGTAATGTAATTAATGAATGTATATTTTAAAGACGGATCTCAAGGAGTTGAGACGGGTGGCGCGCGCGGCCGGTCCGTACGACGAGATGAGCAGTTTGATGTCGACTGGGCACAGCGCATGATGATCGACCTTCTGGTTAGCTACCACTACAAAGTCTTGGATCGCATCGCTGCAATAAATTCCGAAAAGGATTTGATCATCAGAGTGTGGAAGGCGATTGATTACGCATTTGATGATACAGACATGACAGCAACAAGGTACCATTTTTTCAGTTCTTGCCCAAGAAAAGTTCACATCTATAAATATATACGTTCGCATATTTACATGTCTGATTGTGTATCTTACATTGCTTCTGTAAAAAAGGAACGATTTCGCCTGCACTGCCACCGCCGAACGCCTCAATGCCAATCGGTCGATATCTGGGAAAGGAATGGACGCGTGGGTCGCAGCTTGGAAACCCAATCTTCTGTTGATCAAGCAAGAAATCGAATATGGCTGTGCGGAGCATTGTGGCTTTAACAATGCCATTAAAAAAGAACTCTTTGGAAAATGGCTGAAACTACCTAAAATCATGAAAGACATGTTCTCGCGCTGCTGCCGAAAATTGGACGACGATGAAGATGGGATAAGACGCTTGAAGATAGTTGGATTTGCGCATAATCGTGAGTGGAAAATCTGATTTCTTCCCACCATCATTTTTCGTTCATAGCATGTTGACGTTCTCCAACATTATCTCACACCATATAGATTTACGGTTTCAGCTGCTCACCATGGACAGTCCAGCAGGATATGTTTGCCGGGTGTCAAAGTATAAAGAATATGAAGTCCCTTTGTCCGCCACGAAAATTGAAAGCCAACTAATACCAATTCTCCAATTAATTCTGAAGGCTAAGGTATGGTTTTTCTTAAAAAGATCCCTTTATGTGTATTAATAACATTTTTCTCGTACGTATAGGCGCTGGTCAAGGCAAACATTGTTCTTTTGGAGAATAACCCCGGTACTGATACCAATGGTGATGCTGATGAGCAAGGCTACTTCGTCCACCAGCACTCAAGTCGGCCAAAACTCCTATTACCAGCAGCAATGAACCCATCGTCAGAGAACAAGAAGAAGCGCAAGCTGGAATCGATTGTAAAAAATTAATAATACCATTTGTATATATCCTACCACACACATTTTCCAACATTGTAAACCATAGTCATATCTTTTTCAACAAACTTACAAAATACATGAATTTTCTGTACTCAACTCATGATTTCCCCAAATATATATGTATCGTTCTCATATATCGCAATGAAATACATGTACAAGAGGCTCTCGGAAACAGCTAGCTAGATAAACTTTTTTGCTTATCGTGCATGTATCATTTATAAAGGTGATTCGCGCGTATGACAACAGCATATACCATCATGAACGGGGTTTGCATCAACATGTTTACTGTAACTGAAACAGGCGGACAATCAAGCTGCCTGATGATGTAAAGAAAGGCTAGCTTCAATGCCGCTATATAAACCGGCAAAGACAAAGCACGCCACGGTACCTTGCCAGATCAACTAGACCTTACGTTAACAGAAGCGGTCTTATTATATAATTATTGAATCACGGACAGCGATGCGAGCAGCAGGGCTCAGATGCATAATACCAGAGATATGAGTTATACCCTCATTTTCCCTTGAGTATGAGCCGTACTCGTTACCAATATCAATTCAATTATCATGTTTTAAAGGAAAAAGAGGGGTATCACTAATCAGATGGCACGTTTATTTCCAAATTTGAGCACTGCCGGATATGAGCGTTGAAATTCAATCCTTGTCGCTTGAGAGGAGAAGAGCTGCTTTCAGTTACTGCTCATGGGGAAACCTAGAATTTAAAGAGCCATAATTGTAAATGCGGTGAATACTATGCATATCAGGGATGTCATATCATCGAATGTAACGCTAGATATCGATTACCTTCATCTAATGACAGTAATAGCACAAGAACATTGATCGCCGATAGTATCGCTCCAAACACAATCCTTCATTTCGCGGCAATTATCCACGTCGAAGGCTGATGAAAAGCGGTTAGATTTTGCACAAAATAATCCATGGGCATACTTATAAATCCACAACGGATATAATCTTCTATATATTTGAGTTAGCGAGATAACATCATCATTACAATTTATCATCAATAAAAACAATACATGAGCAGAGCTCTTAGACTCCTACCTCCAATGTCCAGCATATCATGAACCACTAAGCCAATAAACGAAAATCCTCTATCAAAAAATGGCGCAAACACCGCGAGGGATTCGGACGCACGTCGGCTCCCGAGTATGCAGTAGTGCCCACTCGGGCCTCACAAACCGTAACACGTCAAGGAGGATCCCTTAGAAAGATCGCAATTAAAATGCTAAGGATAATCAATATAAACGCTAAATTGTACGTCTAGGAGAATCAATCCAAAGCATAACCACGGCAAAGTATGCAACTTTGCAGGAAACGAGATAAAAAAAACCAAACATTAAAACACATCTTCGTCTTGTCTGCATATTAAGAGTATTTTGAAAGCATTGAATTACTTTGTATGATAGCAATACCTTTAATGTATAACGGCGATTATTAAGACGTGATTGTAGAGATGTTTCAAAGAAATAGCTTACTTCATGATGTGCCCAGAATGGTGCTTCAGTGATATTTGAATGGCGCTGCACTAATAAGCATAATCCAAGCTGATTACATCAAGTTTCTTACATGGCTTATTCAACAGCAACCGTATTTTACTTACCAATAATATTCGGATGTGCATCTTGAAGCCAATGTTTGGTATGGCCAGAGTTTAACGGTAGTGCCACCTTCATGCTTTTGTAAATGACAATATATATTTTAACATCATCTAATGAAGCTTTTCGCTTGAGCAAACGGTCGATACGGTAATCCTCATTGCCTTTAGGCGGTCTCCGTAAATACTACTTGCAAACACATGCAATTATCAGTATATACAGGCATGTTACACTTTTGAAAAAAAACATGGATAAATTTGTTCTTACCAGTTGAGGACTCTATATTGCATACGTAACCATGAAGCTCCATATTAATAAAACGTCATGAAAAGTATCCCTTTTGTACTATAATAATAATAGATTTACCAGCCACCAATCTTCAATAAAAATATCTGACTTTGCTGATAATATAGCCTCGGCCACTGCCTCAAAATATTCTGTACAAATTGAAAGGGGCAAAGTGTGCAATGTATGAGAGGGAGCAGAAAAAACAACACCAACAGCCTTACAATAAGTGACCCGAAACTTACCGTGTCCATCCACGAACCATTTTACTTTGGCATTTTCGCGAATAGGAGCAAACGAATTAAACCGTTGCTGGGATACCCACGGACTCTTCAGCTTCACCGTGTTCAGGTTGTCTAGCCATTCATCCACGCCTTTCTGTACTCTTATCTGTATACTTTTCGAGCCTTTGGCCAATGTGATGACCGAATGCGACGAAAACTGTTTTCGTTCAGACGTGTGGTACTTGAATTCCTTGTCGAGCAGCATAACATCTGTTGGCGTTGTGGATGATGTATCCTTGCAAAAAGCAATGTAACTACAGAGATCAAGATAACGCATAGAGTGGAGCGGTGAGTTTCTTTCCTTTCTCTCTCTCTCTCTCTCTCTCTTTCGGCATATTTAAAGAATTTCAAAAGAAAACACTTTACGAATCGCGCAGGATAAACCACTTCTTCACCCATCCATAGCGTCGTATGGGACGTAAAACAGGCGCCGACCGGGTCACGACCTTTTGCTCCAAGTATCCTTCCTTGCCTTTCCATCCCATATCCTTGACAATGCTTATCCCACTCACTTCCAAGAACTCGCACAGATCAGTCAATCCAGTCAAGTCTTCCACTTTTTGCGATTTCTCAACCAGTTCTTGCAGATATTGTGCCAATTCCAATCGTCGCTTTTCATTACGCGTATCCAAAGATGTCAGTTCCGAGTGGATCATGATGGAGTTTTGCTCGTGGGCAGATCGAAGGGACGCGATGGCGTGTGCAAAGTTTTGGACTTTGCTAGGGAACGAAGGAGGCGATTTAATGGTGGACCTGAGCTTGAGTGTCACCCACAAATCGTAGAAATCGACCACATTGCGCTTGACCGTCCATTTGATCTCCCCATATTGAAGGTCGATAAGATAGAACGTGTTGCTTTCGTCTACATCTCGGATGGACACCTAGATAGAGTTAGCGTCTCACAAATCCATCATTGTGTTCATGAGCTACACACTGATGTGGCACCGTCTGTGGCGCTTTCTGTGATACGTTGTTTCTAATCCAACAACTTACTGTCAAAGGTCCAAACAAGTCTCGCGGCTACATAGTGCATAATGCAAAAGGAGGGGGAGGGGGGGGGAGAACCCCCGTTTTTAGTTTCAAAAGTTCGTTTGAACGAGATAAATATGCTTTCATGCTTTACCGTTGATATAGGACGTCCATTGACTGGCACTAGTGCCGTTGACACCTTTGTGGCACCTACTGACAGTCAATTGAGAGACTATGTATACACTACTCTCTCCTCTATGTATATACACACCTTGCTGATCCCATGGAGCAACAGCTGTTTCAAACGGATGCTCAAAATAATTGCTTTTACTCTCTGCCAGATGAGCGGCGCGTGCTCCTTCCTTGGCGACTTCATCCATAGATGGTAAATTATCACCCTCACCGAGCATCCCAGGCGGTCGCTTGTGTGTCCACATCGGTAGTGTTTCAAGATTGAAAAATCCGTCAAACGAGGCAGGAGAGATTTGAACCTCCTCCTGCGCCGCCTCACGCATAACAACGTCTTCTTCTTCGTCGTCGTCAATGTCATAATAGCCGCCCTTACTGTTGTACTTGTCCTCAGCTCTTTGTATGCCAACTGACATGCGTCTGACAATGGAATGCCAACGCGATCCTTCCACCTGTGCAACGTGTTGTTGTTGTTGTTGCTGCTGCTGCTGCTGCTGGTGTTGTTCCTGAATCTGCTGATTGCGAAAAAGGAGTTGCTGTTCTTGTTGTTTGCGCAGTATGTTGTGATACTGGTGGTAATCGTGGTGTTTCCGTGGTTGACTGCTGTGATGGTGATGAAGGTGGTGAAACTGGCGATGTTGGTGATTGCTATGGTGGTGGTGGTGCTGCTGCTGGTGAGGGGCGCCACCGTTGACGAATCGATTTGTTACTGAGCTTTTTCCGTTACTGCTTGCACCGCCACCGCCGCCTTGTATGAAATACTCCACGCCTGCCGCAATGGGGTTTGACATTATTGCAAAACGACGAAAATACCTTCAAAGACGAAAATACGTTAAAAAAAAAGACAGCTTTAATAAAAAAAAAAGAGAACAGCAGAAATAGAAACGATTGTTTTTCTTACTTGAAACTTTGTGCTTGACTCACATGTCCATATATAGCGTATATTCGTTGTTATTGTTTTGGTTGTTGCTGTTGTGCGGTGACGGAAATGTAGATCGCGTGCCACAAGATTGTAAGCATCGTGGGCATTACTCACTCACTGAGCAACAATCACACACCACCGCGTCACTCCCTACTATTTTTGTGGATCTGGCCACAAGACACATGATGGTCATTACCATCTGACGATATAATGTATGTATCTCGGTTGCCAAGACCAAATGCAGTGTGTATTCTTCTATACCGTTTTCAGGGCCACGATGGATACATGAAGTTCTCGGCCGTGAAACCCATAGTTAGCGCATTTTTGAGTATATAGCCTATCAAATGAAGCTTCTCGGTTTTAGCGATCCCATACTCCTGTTTGTCTTTGACAAAGCTGGATCAAAAATGAACTTTCACAAATTGCTTCTTGCTTCGTTTAAATATTGTATGTTTACATGATGAATCGGTAATTATATTACTTTATACTATACGGAAGACATAGGCGAATCAGAACAGCACCGATACACCATTACATTAATTAATAAAATTGAACAAGTAGAACCACAGCCTTGCAGCTCCAAAAAAAGCAACAACATTATTGTCCTTTCTAATCCTTTGTTAATTTTTCTTTACACACTATTCTTTTTCATCGGTAAGAAACGTAGACATAGTAGAATGTATATGTATTCCGCGTTTGTTTAGAGCATCAAGATGGAAGAACTTCGAAGCGCTCCGAATATACTGAGCCTGATCTTTTATTAACTGATTCTGCAAATGCCTATACTACGCAATGCGATCAATATTGCACATCATCCAACACCGTTTTCTATCACAATGGTGGGGAGCAAACGATATCAACAAACATAGAACCAACAGATTTTGCTTATAGGTTCACATATTTAATGATTTTATGTACCCCATCTCGCCAGTATTTGTCATCCTGCTCCTCCTCCTCTTTTCTCACGCCAACCCATGTTAAACTTGTTAATGGAAATATTCCAAAGATATATCTAGATGCCATAAATGTGGGGTCCCTCGGATATCATCATATAAATGAAAGATAGAGAAGATAGATTAGCGCTCTTTGATTCACAACGTATCAAGAGAAATTGCGCTGTGTAGCAGCAACAAAGGAGTTTCGCAGTCAACAAGCAGAGGCTAGGAGTTCTTACCCAGATAGAGATCCTTAAGAGAAGAATGAGAGAAAGTTGGTGTCATGAAGAAAACGCAGCCTACAGGTAGGCTAGCAGGGCGTTACGTACTAGCATGCCTTGTAGCCCACTTGGACATTGCCCAGACAGAGGTCCTTTAGAGAAGAATGAGAGAAAGATGGTGTCATAAAGAAAACGCAGCCTACAGGTAGAGGCTAGCAGGGCGTTACGTACTAGCATGCCTTGTAGCCCACTGGACAATACCCAGACAGAGGTCCTTTAGAAAAGAATGAGAGAAAGATGGTGTCATAAAGAAAACGCAGCCTACAAGTAGGCTAGCAGGGCGTTACGTACTAGCATGCCTTGTAGCCCACTGGACAATACCCAGACAGAGGTCCTTTAGAAAAGAATGAGAGAAAGATGGTGTCATAAAGAAAACGCAGCCTACAAGTAGAGGCTAGCAGGGCGTTACGTACTAGCATGCCTTGTAGCTCACTGGACAATACCCAGACAGAGAAAGATGGTGTCATAAAGAAAACGCAGCCTACAAGTAGGCTAGCAGGGCGTTACGTACTAGCATGCCTTGTAGCCCACTGGACAATACCCAGACAGAGGTCCTTTAGAAAAGAATGAGAGAAAGATGGTGTCATAAAGAAAACGCAGCCTACAAGTAGAGGCTAGCAGGGCGTTACGTACTAGCATGCCTTGTAGCTCACTGGACAATACCCAGACAGAGGTCCTTTAGAGAAGAATGAGAGAAAGATGGTGTCAGAAAGAAAACGCAGCCTACAAGTAGAGGCTAGCAGGGCGTTACGTACTAGCATGCCTTGTAGCCCACTGGACAATACCCAGACAGAGAAAGATGGTGTCATAAAGAAAACGCAGCCTACAAGTAGGCTAGCAGGGCGTTACGTACTAGCATGCCTTGTAGCCCACTGGACAATACCCAGACAGAGAAAGATGGTGTCATAAAGAAAACGCAGCCTACAAGTAGAAGCTAGCAGGGCGTTACGTACTAGCATGCCTTGTAGCCCACTGGACAATACCCAGACAGAGAAAGATGGTGTCATAAAGAAAACGCAGCCTACAAGTAGGCTAGCAGGGCGTTACGTACTAGCATGCCTTGTAGCCCACTGGACAATACCCAGACAGAGGTCCTTTAGAAAAGAATGAGAGAAAGATGGTGTCATAAAGAAAACGCAGCCTACAAGTAGGCTAGCAGGGCGTTACGTACTAGCATGCCTTGTAGCCCACTGGACAATATCCAGACAGAGGTCCTTTAGAAAAGAATGAGAGAAAGATGGTGTCATAAAGAAAACGCAGCCTACAAGTAGAGGCTAGCAGGGCGTTACGTACTAGCATGCCTTGTAGCCCACTGGACAATACCCAGACAGAGGTCCTTTAGAAAAGAATGAGAGAAAGATGGTGTCATAAAGAAAACGCAGCCTACAAGTAGGCTAGCAGGGCGTTACGTACTAGCATGCCTTGTAGCCCACTGGACAATACCCAGACAGAGGTCCTTTAGAAAAGAATGAGAGAAAGATGGTGTCATAAAGAAAACGCAGCCTACAAGTAGAGGC